TATTGGATCAAGCCAATCTGTGGATAAACATTAAACAGGCAGCTGTAATGAGTAGACTTATATAAAAAAAGTTTCATTTATTTGAATGTTGGAGATTGTTCCACCCAGCAAATCGAAACTATACACACAGATCAGTACCACATAGTTCTGCCGCTAGAATTGATCTGAGTTTGGGGATACCCAGCTATTAAAGAATATAAAATCAATTATTATAAGAGATAATACGTGGTCGGACTATGATATGGTGATAGTGGATAAAAGGATAAGTACCAGAGAACCCCTTCGCCGTGGATGATACTTTATTAAAAACTAAAGAAAACAGACTATATTAACCCCTTCCCGCCATTACGGCGTTCTATGCCGTCGCGGCTTTAATGCCGTTGCGGCGGCATAGAACGCCGTAACGGCTTTGAGCCCCAGTGGTACTTACCTCCGCCGCGATCCTCTTCTGGAGGGCTGCCAGACCGCCCAGGCAGCCCTCCTCCGGTGAATGAGGCCCCGGAGGAGGCCTATAAAATATATGTGTATGTATCTATTATATATATAATATATATACATATTATATACATATAACGTCATACGTAATGTATTTTAATATTAATATAAGTATATATTAATATTAAAATACACTTAGAATGACGTTACATAAATAAATAAATATATATATATATATATACACACACACACACACGTAAAATTACAATAATAAATTAAATAATAAAATATTGAAACAAAATTTAATATAAATTATATATTCATATGTAATTTCATTCTAACTGTATTTTGTTATTAATATATATATATTGGTAACAAAATACACTTAGAATGAATATATATATATATATATATATATATATATATATATATATATATATATATATATATATATATATATATATAGCATCCAAGTAGAGAGCACTCTGGAGTCTTCGTTTTATATCAAAATAAATACTGCTTTATTGTGCAGAATACAAAAATGTCGACGTTTCAGTCACAATAGACTTTTCTCAAGACCTGAGAAAAGTCTATTGTGACTGAAACGTCGACATTTTTGTATTCTGCACAATAAAGCAGTATTTATTTTGATATAAAACGAAGACTCCAGAGTGCTCTCTACTTGGATGCTATATTTTGGTCAGAGATTACTTGCACCGGAGCATGGAAAAGACCGGGAACATTGAGTGCTGGGACCTGGGAAAATATATATATATATATATACATACACATATATATATATATATATATACACATATACATATATATATATATATACACATATACATATATATAAATAAAATACAAATAACCGCAAATAAATATATATAGATAAATACATATAATTACATAAAAGATTACATTAGTATACACGTAGAATTTAAATACCTATAAATGCATATATATTAAAATTCTACGTGTATATTTAAGTAATCTTTTAACGTAATTATGTGATTTGATTAATTAAAATTTGATTGACATGCCTGACAACACAGGGAGAAAGTGCAGAAAATTTAATTCGCAAGCACTATATTTGACCCTGTAACTCTCCAAGACTCCATAAAACCTGTACATAGGGGGTACTGTTTTACTCGGGAGACTTTGCTGAACTCAAATATTAGTGTTTCAAACTGGTAAATTGTTTTACAACGATGATATTTTAAGTAAAAGTGATGTTTTATGCATTTTTTTACAAACGAACGTCATGTTTATGGACTATATTATTGTTGTAATAGGTTTTACCGTTTTAAAACACTAATATTTGTGTTTAGTGAAGTCTCCCGAGAATAAAAGTACCCCCCATGTACAGGTTTTATGGTGTTTTGGAAAGTTAGAGAGTCACATATAAGGCTTGCATTTCATTTTGTTGGCATTGAAATTTGCCAGATTGGTTATGTTGCCTTTGAGACCGTATAGTAGCCCAGGAATAAGAATTACCCCCATAATGGCAGACCATTTGAAAAAGAAGACAACCCAAGGTATTGAACGTGGGGTATGTTTAGTCTTTTTTAGTAGCCACTTAGTAACAAACACTGCCCAAATATTAGTTTTTTGCTTTTTTCACGAAAATAAAATATGAACGCTAACGTCTCAAAGGTAATATTACTAATCTGGCAAATTTCAATGTGAAAATGGAACGTTCTATATTTGACCCTGTGACTTTCCAAAACACCATAAAACCTGGTAATGGGGGGTACTGTTGTACTCGTGAGACATCGCTGATTACAAATATGTGCATTATTTGCAGTAAAACCTAACAGTATTATGACATTTACAGCTAAAATGTGAGGCGGAACTACAATTTTTTTTTAAAAATTTTAAATTTCTCACAGTTTTTTAAATTTTATTCATAATAAATTATGTTTCATATATAAATATTTGATATGAAATTAAAGCCCTGTTTCTCCTGAACAAAATGATATATAATAAGTGTGAGTGCATTTACTATGAAAGAGTTGAATTACGGTTGGACAGACATGTAGCGCAAATGCCAGGTTTTGTTTACATTTTGTTTTGTTCACAAAGTGTACATTTGGGTCCGTCCTTAAGGGGTTAATAAAATGTCTAAAGAAGAGATTTCTTTTGAATGTCTTTGGAGCACATTTAAAACAGTAAATAAGGGGTTTTGGGATTAAAATAGCAAGTCAAAAAAGAAAGTACTGCGGACTAAATATGTCAGATTTACAATAGATAGAAAAAAAATTGAAATAAAATATATTGAGAAAAGATAAATATACAAATATCTGAAAGAATAGAATCCAATTTAAGTAGACTAAAAAACAAATTCTACCATAGGAATAATAGAGTAGATAAGATGTTAACTAATAGTTAAAAGAAAACAAAAATAGACAATAACATTCATAAAATAATAAAAGATGGTAGGACATATTTAAAACCAGAAGAAATTGATACTGTGTTTAAAATTTTTATGAAAGTCTCTATAATTTGGAGGATAATTTAAAATCTCTACAAATAGAGAATTATCTAAACAATTCTAATATCCTGACAATATCACCGGAACAGCTAAAGATCTTGAATCCGCAGATTGACCAGACAGAGGTCCAGCACGCAATCTGCAAATATAGTAAAGCTCTGGGCCCAGACAGATATACGAATAGGTTTTATAAAGTGTTTCAGAAAACGGTTATTCTACCTTTGACAGCAACTTTTAATGAATTAGCAGCAAAAGGGCCGGCCTCTAAAGAGTTATTAAGAGCGAATATAATCCCTATTTTAAACAGGATAAATTACACACTGATGCATCAAACTACTGTCCAATATCTTTAGTTAATATAGATATGAAAATATATGCTTTGATCTTATCAGAAAGACTTAAAAAGATTCTGTCTTTGGTCATTCACCTGGACCAGATAGGTTTTCTAACTGGAAGACAGTCATGTAATAATACAAGGCGGGTGGTAGACATATTGGACTTGGCCCAGCAGGAAGGAGTTCCCCTTCTGACCCTGTCGGATGCAGAGAAGGCCTTCGACAGGGTCGAATAGGGATTTTTGAGGTTTTGGCCTGATTTGGTCTAATAGGCTGGATAGCTAATGCAATTGGTACGTTATATTCATCCCCTTCAGCTAGATTGGTGAGACAGGAATTTTGTACAGATTGGTTCAATATATCAAAAGGAACGAGGCAGGTGTGGCTTTTATCCCCTTCATTATATATACACTATCTAAAGAACCCCTTGCTATCAATATAAGAAGCAACCCTCAGATCAAAGGGGTGATATTAAAAGACAGGGAATTAAAGATATGTCTATATGCCGATGACATTCTTATTTCAGTAACAGATCCACATCTCTCTCTCTAACACATTTAATGCAAGAATTAAAAAGATATAGTATTGAATCGAATTCTAAATTAAATATTAATAAAACATCGGTTCTAATTAAAAATACTGAAGCCGATAACCTTAAAAAACAAAAAAATTATCTTGATTTTACATGGACATCAAAAGCCATACTATATTTGGTTATAAATATTACCGCAAATCCAAAAGTGATAATAGAAGTAAATGTTTTAAGACTCATTAAACATACCAACGTGCTAATAAGGGAATGGAGATATTAGGAAATCTCTTGGTGGTGGAGACTTAATACTATCAAAGCATATTTCCTCCCCAAGTGGGCATACTTATTTGAAATGATCCCACTGGCAATTTCAAATCAATGGTTAGATATCATACAATCCAGCTTTACTAATTATATCTGGAGAGGTAAAAGACCCCAAATAAATACTAGGATTTTGTCCAAAAAAAAGACCATCAGGGGGTATAGGATAACCAATAATCAGAAACACCTATCAGGCGAATATGATTATCCACGGCCATGAATTATAAGTTAGCGACTTGAAGGATCAGACAATATGCTACTTTACAATTATCACACGGGATATAGATTTTCATCCATTTATAGATAACTAATAGAAAAGGTTTTTATCTTGTACACTGGGAATAATACAATACAAGTTAAAGTAGTAATCGGTCTCGCAGTCAAGTGTTCGTCTTTCTAAAAAGAAAGTTGTAAATGGCTTTCCCCAAAAACTCTGATAATTGAAATGAAAATGTGTGTTCTTAAATATAGCAAGTCGTCTTTTTGTACAAGCTGTTACAACATTAACTGGTTATCAATATCACAGTTTTAAAGTACACTTGTACCTTGGCAAGATGAAGCCAGGACCAGGGTCTTCAGGACCGGGTACAAACACAAATCTGCTACTGTTTAACGGAAAGAAAATAATCATTACTTGCTGAAAAACATGTCAATAGCACAATAGCAACTGATAATACGCCTATACTCCTGCTGGTTCATTGAGCTCAATATGCAAACCTCATTTGGTGCAAAATTACATTATTTCAACACACACACACACCACTATTTTATTTATTAAATATTATATATATTGTGGCAGGGTCAGAGAGGCTTTTTATGTTAGTAACAGGTTGGAGCGTGCTCTGTTCCCAGCATGATAGGGTTAATAGGTGGAAATCAGCCCTTTCAGGTGAATGTAATTAACCTGTACTTGAGTGGTTTAAAAGGTCAGCCTCTGAAGGAACCAGACCGGCTAACAGCTGGGAGAGAGGAGGCAGTTAAAGAGACACTCCAGGCACCAAGACCACTTAAGCCCTTTGGAGTGGTCTGGGTGCAAACTCCCATTACCCTTAACCCTGCAAGTGGAATTATTGCAGTTTTTATAAACTGCAATAATTACCTTGCATGGTTAAGTCCTCCTCTAGTGGCTGTCTATCAGACAGCCATTAGAGGGACTTCCGTTTTCTTTAAAACACAAAAAGTGTTTTAAAGGGCACTGGACGTCCTCACGCTATGCATGAGGACCTCCAGCGTCACCGGAATCTCCATAGGAAAGCATTGAATAATCGGCTGACATCGGCGGGGGAGGAGCGTGGGCGGAGCCTGATCTAGCGTCGCGGGACATCAGCGCTGGATTCAGGTAAGTCACTGAAGGGATTTTAACCCTTTCAGCAACGTGGGATGGGGGGTGGGAGTGGGACGGATATATTTTCCTGGCACTGGAGAGTCCCTTTAACCCGGTAAGTATGTGTGACATGTCATGATTCCCTTTTATTCCAGAAGTTTGGTCCTTAAGGGGTTAAGCCTGAGACTCAGACTCTAAAGGAAAAGGTACTATGCAAAAAATGTGTGTTTTAAGTGTGTTTAAAGTGCTCTGTGTATACGGTTTAAAACATGGAACTGGATTAGTTGGCCAGTTAGATAGTTAGGAAAACTGTTTAGTAAGTCTCCAAGTTGGAGTAGGATTTATTTTCTTTTTGTTTTATTTCTGTGAAGCACAGCATTGTGTACCTCGAAAAATTAGAATATCGTGCAAAAGTTCATTTATTTCAGTAATGCAACGTAAAAGGGGAAACTAATATATGAGATAGACGCATTACATGCAAAGCAAGATAGTGCAAGCCGTGATTTGTCATAAGTGTGATGATTATGGCTTACAGCTCATGAAAACCCCAAATACACAATCTCAGTAAATTAGAATATTACATGCAATTAATAAAACAAGGAGTGTACATAGAACAATATCAGACCTCCGAAAAGTATAAGCATGCATATGGACTACTTGGTTTGGGCCCCTTTTGCAGCAATTACTGCCTCAATGCGGCGTGGCATGGAAGCTATCAGCCTGTGTGCTTCAATACACATACACACACACTTACAAGGAAACAAATGTATAATCATAGTCAAAAGATAAAGCGGATTATACCTTTTGTGTATGTCAGGGTATTCACTTATAACGTCTGCTAAATTCTTAAAGGAATCTGGAATACAAATCACAGAAGAAATTATGAGTGCTACACCCCCAAGAAAAAGAGATACCATATGTTAAAATAATATATATATATATATATATATATATATTTTAACATAATCATTGTCTCTCCCACAAAGTGCAAGTTACGTTAAGAACTGTTGTCAACCGGTGAGGAACTGTGTGGTTACCCCTTCTTATCCACCTAACGCTCAGCTACAGTAAATCAGTGATGACTCAGGTTATAAGTCATTTGGATGGGATCCACTTTAAAGCAAAACGTGTAGTTCATGGACCCATTCAACATAAGACAACACACAAGTTGAAGGATTACTCCAAGCATCATGACCACGTGGTGATTTGAAGTGGTTATGGTGCCTTGAGTGTGTATTAGTGTTTCTCTTTGAAGCACTGCAAATACTGAGACTAACTCCTTCCCTGCTTGATGCGTGACTCCACATTTTGCAGCGTTTGCCTGGCCAGAACAATTCGGTCCGACTAATGTCAATTTTGTGCAGAATTGGCATCTGATGCCAGCAAGCATAGCATGCTGGCATCAAACAGCCCATGGAGGCATGCCCACCCCGCGTGTGTGTTGAGTGGTTCTTCAAACCCTCTTCATAATTCATAAAATCATGTGTAACTGTCAGGCATCTCAAAAAGAACCTCTGCTTTGATCAAACAGGTCACAGACTTCAATCAGGTAAGTGTTGCTTCCAACCAAAGGGGACTTGATGGTCACTCTCACAGAGCACGGATAAGCCATGAGAGAGAGACTGATAACATTGTTTATGTTGTATATAGTGCACATTTTTGTGTAATATTTATAGAAATAACATTTAGGGTAAATTGGTAATTGTGGAGAAGTAACAACAGTATTGCAAATTTGAAACTATAATAGGTAGAAGGTTGTTCCTTTCAGTCTATTCCCACAACTGCCAATTTGGCAAGTCACTCCACTAGTGTTCCTGATGCTTTATGTTAGAATTCTAAATAAAATATTTTTCTACCACTTAAACTATGTCCTATACCTTTTAGAGACTTAATTTTATTCTTCCCATATGGCGCAGAAGAAAAGTTCCCACAGAAGATGAAGCAGGTTGGAGGAGCGCTGGAGTAGCCTGAAATGAGAGAAATTGAGATATGTCCGTTTTTTTTACTATCAACATAGAGAGAACTGAACAGCAGAGCAGAGAACTGAACACTGGAAATAGTCATTCATAAAAACTGAAATGAGTGAGGAAGTACTTTGTTGCATGGTCCCTAAACAGAGAGAATGTGGAAGTATTGAAAAAATCTAGAACTTTTGGTTTTACTGTAGGAGGAAAGCGCGTACAGAATAACTAAGTTAACTGACATTTGAAAGAGAAATACCTCATAAATCCATAAGTATGATATGTTAATAGCTACTGAACTATATAAATACTCATGGTGCCTTTCTATAACTATACCCACAATTTACAAAAACTAACTCTGATAAAATAGGAGGCAACCAAGATCCAAATCTCAATGAACTGAAGACACCTGAATCTCCCTGTGTTTCCCATACTACTTTCCAAGGTCTACTGGAGCACAATACAGTTGTACATTGGTCAATGTAATTATCTCTTTCTGTGAATGTATTTCATTAAACATAGTGGGCACAAAGATATTTACAACATTCTTTTGATTGCTAGGAGAACAGTGGAGAATGCAGACCGAAATCAGAGAAGTGATAAGTCACCCAAAGACTGGACAGAGGAGTCATGGGGATGTAGCTGCACCTTATCCTTCATACAAACTCCCACATTGTAAAGATTAATTTTGCTAATTGGATGTTCAACCACTGAATACATTATAAAATGATGCAGGCCGACATAAAACCAAATGGGACCTTGCACTAAGAAATTATTTCCCTGCCAGTCCTCATAGGCTGCAAGGGAATGGGCTGTATCTGCATGCTGCACTAGCAGAGGAATGTCTTGGGATATTCCTGCAATATCCAGAGGATATGACGCAATTATGCTTCCATGAAGAGACAGTCTACACTATCTCAGAGACCAGAGACAGACAGCTGCATCTCCAGATTTGCTCTCCTTAAGAAATCGGTCAGGCCCTGGTCAATACACTACCACTTTGTTGTGTTTAACCAGGGGCCATATAACAGAAGGGGCAGGGCTTAAAAATGATACTCCTAAACTGTTAGACAGGCCTTAAAAGCTACTTATCGAGCAAGCCTGATAGTGTCCAGGGCATACTCTCCATGTTTGAATTTGTACTAGTCAACTGCGAATTTTGAGCCCTAGCAAGGAGTTTGAAGAGGGGAGCACCATGCATCTGCAGTAGCTGGAAGGAATACAAAAAGATCTACCTAATCAGTCCTGCACCCCTCACAATAGCAAGGAAGAATGTGGTTTACACCTCTGGCTGATACATATGTGCTTTCTAGACACTTCTGAATGAATCCGAGAGCTGAAGCTACATTACCCTTCAAGCATTCAGCAAAGCCAGACCAGGAAGAGGACTTCACATGTTTACAGCCACTGGAGATGCAGACTACATGCTCAGACCATTGGACGATCAGGAAAACGGCAGTCTATTGAACACAAGACTATAGCAAACAGGATTTCTCCCAACAGTGGAAAAAAATTTTGACCATTATTTTTTTTATCCCCACTCATACAGAAAAAAATATCTATTGCATTCTTGCAGATACCTGAAAACATAACGTGCAGCTTTTCTATAACTTCAACTTGATCCAGCCATAAATCAGACACAAAAACAAACATGACTTCCTCATTCTCCTCCTCCAGCTGCTTCAACTTTACTGAAGACTTTACAGAGATTGAAGCGGGTCCACCGAAAAAATTTATGTTGCCGTAATATGCTCTGAATAAGAGGAAAAAATGTAAAATACAAAATATTATATATGTGTGAGTGTCCAAGACCAGCGGAAGACCCAGATACAATAGGCTAGACAACCCCTCCCACAATTCCAGACACACAGCTTTCCCATTATCAACTGGATTTAATACAGTTTTGCAATTCCACAATGATAAGGCATGTAATAGATGTGGATGATATTTATCCTCAGCAGCAGGGGGTCTCAATATATATGCTGTATGACTGCCGTACAAATCCTCCAGATCAATTAATTTAAGGGTATTATTACCAAGGCTAAAACATATCAAGTACTTTAGCAAGAGCATCTAAACTAGAGTATAATGTGGGATAAAAGGCTGAATTAAAATTCTAATTCCAGAAATGAATTACATTTTAAATAAACAACTAAGTTCAGGTGCACTTAATGGACAACAACTCGTGTGAGTTTGAAAGTAGTATTTCTGAACAGTAATCTAGTTGTATCCAACCTAAGATACATTCTAGCTAGCAAGACTTTAAGAAACACATAACCATGAAGACAGTATCAGGATTATGTAAGAATACAACCACATTCTAAAACAAACTGGATTTAAATCACAGTCTTCTGTGTAAAGGGGGATTCTGGAATCCACTTAATGCAGCGTTGATTAGCCTAATGTAATTTGGGGATTGTTTCCAAGTCTCCAGAAACAGTATATTCCACCCACCAGCTTTTCTGGGAAAAAACAATCCTGTAATGCTTTGCACTGACTTCCTGTTTGCCAGTCGCTGGAAATATGCACTCGTAACTCATAGAGCTGCCCATTTGTGCAAACATTTTTAAAACTCGCTTACCTGGTGGTGCTGGCAGGCTCTGTAGGAGGGAAGCCAAATGCATTGATATGAAAAATCTTGTCTTCGTACCAACCTAAAGAGGGAGGAGAAAAAAAAAAATGTGTTTTGGAGGTGATTCTTTTTTCGGTCTTACATCTAGAGTATGAGACAGATGTTACCTTCTGCTAAAACAAAGCAGGACTCTGTGTATAGGCCACTGTGGAACTGGTGCACTGTGGTTAAAGAAAAATGCAATTACATGTTTAGTGTACGATAGTGGTTTGGTGCTGGGAGTCCCCTGGTGTGCAGTGCACTGGTAAACTGGAAAATTGTTCTTAAATGGTTTGACACTTACCTGGCTCTGCTGGAAGCTTGTTGTCTTCCCAATCTGAGCTGCTGTGGCAAAGCTATACGTCTTCATTATTATACCAAGTTGGGAAATTATTGTCCCATCTTGGTATGATAATGCAGAAATATGAACTTTTGTTTTACCATACCACCTAAGACCAAAGGCTTGTGGATGCCCAATAGAGACAGGTAAGTGTATAACCATTAAAATAACTTGACAGTTTACAGTTGTTCAAACATAAGGGGACTCCTAGCACCATAACCAATTAAGCCTCTGCAGCAGTGGAATCAAATCACATTTTGAAGTTTGAGAACTGTGCAAGAGCATAATGTAATCCATATATTCAAGAGAGTTGTGGCAACCCTTGGGGTGCATCATGATTATGGAGTCCAAACATCCAAACTCTGGACTTTGCTCAAGTTATCAAAGTACTACAAAAAGGATATAGCTTTGCTGAGGTCGAGCTGCACTGCTCCAGTGGGATCTTCCAGAAAATACTTGCCCTGAAATTAAATGTAGAAAATCACTTGATTAGAAAAAGACTATATGCTTTTGCATGTTTTTTTACCCCATGCACATACAGCTTTAATGCATTCAATTAGTACTGAAACGAAAGATAAAAAGTTACTCACCTCCTTGAGCTGAGTTATCATACCAAGTACTATCACATCCCCCATTTTAGCTGTACTGCCCAGGAGTGTTTCTACAGATTTGAGCTGAAATTGGCAAAATGATACAGATGTGAACTATGATGTACAAGAAACTGTCAGACACATTGACCACATAATTAAGGATAACAAGACTCAAGCTAATCTTCAGAGGGTCAATAAAATAAAGTTGAAAATTTTAGAATAAAGTATTTTGATCTAAGCCATTTATTCCTAAATCATATATCGTGGAGGATTAGATAGTCTGATGTGAGAATTGATACCAGACACTATATGTAGTGGTTTGATAAAGACTTTTTCCCCTCATAGATCATACAAAAAAAAAAAAAAAAAATACAATTTTAATTTTACAAAGCTACTTCAAATCATTTTAGCAAACAAATATGGGGATTCAGTTACACTATATGGTCCTATTGCGTCAAGCCCACCATTATATCACATTACCCCAAAATACACATTCTTATACAAGTCAAGTCTTGTGGTTTGTAAGGGTGTTTTTAAGGACAGTAAATCACTAGGCCTACATTGTCTCAAAAGTTGAAGACATAACTGATTAGAGAAGAGATTTCATACTTTACTGACTGAAAACTTAAAAATTGATGAGGCAGCTTAATCTCATGAGGGCAAGTGATATAACATTTCAGATGTGCAGAGTATTAAAGTCATTTCTTAAACCAGGGTTTGACAAATTTGCTTTGAATCTAGTAGCCAGCTAAAAAAGGTAGGAACTAGGTTTTTTTAAACTGAAAGCTTTATATTCAGCTACAAAAATACAATTCTTAAAGAGACACTATAGTCACCAGGACCACTACAGCTTAATGTAGTGGTTCTGGTGTCTACAGCCTGTCCCTGCAAACTTTTTAATGTACACACTGACTTTTCAGGAGGAAAAATGCAGTGTTTACATTGCTGCCTAGAAACACCTCTAGTGACAGTCACTAAGACAGCCACTAAAGTGCTTCCCATCTCAGTGATTCTGTACCTCCACGCTCTGCAAGAAGGCACTGAACGTTCCCCATAAAGAAGCATTAATTCAATGCTGATTGGCGCCACATTTGATGAGGAGATGCTGATTGGCGCCACATTTTGAAGCACATGCGCAATAGCTTCTCAGTACTTTCCTTTCAGAAAGCATTGGATTGGCAGAGGTCATCAAGCGTGATTATCTCAGCCATAGAGGCATGGCCAGCCGCAGGAAGACAGGTACGGGTTGGAAAAAAGTGAATATAAACACCATTCCCACATGATCGGGGAGAGGAGGGGGTAGTTCATCTAAACACACACACACACACACCCTGAGACAGACACCCACACACGTATACACTGACAGAGACACATAAGCGCTGACAGACACACACATACACTGACAGACACACATACGCGCTGACAGACACACACATACACTGAAAGACACACATTATTATTTGTGTTCATGTAATTCTATTCCACCCAGCCTCCCTACCTTTGGGAGAGCTGGAGTGGGTCTGTTTTCCCTGGGGTCCAGTGGGGGCGGTCGGCTGGAGGGAAGTGAAGACAAGCAAGCAGCTTTGCGTACTGTGGGTGGTCGGTGAGGGAGTGATCTCCCTGCTGTGCTCCAGCGCCGCTTAGTGATGCTGGGGCCGGAGTGACTTCATATACCGGCCCCGGCATCACTAAGTGAGGGAGCAGAGCAGGGAGATCACAGTCCCCTTTGCAGTCAGCTTACAGAACATGCACCTCGGACGGAACAGGCTCACAAATATTAGGTGTGGACAATTAACTAGTACACCTGGATGTAATTAAATTTGTTTTTATAGGTATAAAACAGCCAGTTTGTCACGGTTATTGTAGATTGCACCTAAGGAAGACCTGTACTAGGTTGAAATGCGTTGTGTTAATTATTTTCTTGTTCTTTTAATATACATGGGATAAAAGTATTTTTACCATCTACCATCCGGTTCCTGGTTCTTCTGGACATTCCACTGTTCCAGTAAAGACTTTACTACAATTTCCAGTTATCCCAATGGTGGATGAAATGCTGTTACAGTTCAGAGCCATTATTTAAGGGCTCTGTAAAGTGTGAGTGTTCCATTTTTACTATACTACTGTTATTTGTTTTAACAGATTACACAATGGTTGCTCTTTTTTACATTTATGTCATATAGTGTTCTTTTGTGAAAAAGACCTACAACATATACTTAAAAAAAAAAAAGGTAATAAATTCTAATCACTGTGTGCGCTTTGACACTTTTGTTTGGTACTTTACTGGTTTTACAGCCTGGTTAGTGGTGTTGGTGTTGGGATTTTAAGCCTTCTATTAAGAGATAGATTTGGTTTTAATTCCAGTGTGTAGCAATTGAGATTATATTTGGCATGTGTAGAGTGGTGAATTGTGAGTCTAAACATCAGATTACGGAGAAAGTGCTGGGTAAGGCAACATGTTTAAACCTTTGCCAGAAATGCTGAAGATTTTGCTTTGAAACATGATTTGATGCTTTGTGAACATTAAAGAGGAACTGTCATTTCCTTTAGCACAACCGAATAACTAAAAGTTAACTATCGGTTGTGCTAAAAGTTTAACAGCGTTATATTTAATATTTAACTTACAAATTCTGCAGGGAAACTATGAGTTAGTGAATTCTCATAAAATGTCTCAAATGGTTTAGCAAGCACTTCAGTGCCCAAAACATCATGACCAGCATAGTCAGCAAAAATTTGGAAATTCTGCACAAGACAAACAGGTTTTTATACTTATCTACGCTGCTCTTTTCACCCCAGCAGTGTTTGCTGTATATTGGTTGAAATATGGTACACAAGCAAAGTACACCACCGCAACAGTGCTCCCTACTTATCAAAAATGTTACCACATAACACAAAAATACAGAGGGAAAATGAGAGGCTTGAACAAAGGCTGACCGCAGCCAAGGTCAAACGGCAACATAGGCTGTCAGGCAGCAAGCCATGGTTAATATAACGGCACGAGAACCTGCGGTGGGACACAAAACATATCATATAAGTGAATTTAATAAAACGTGTATGTACTAAAATGTAAGCCAGACGTATGGATATGCAACCATTCCCCCATTACCCTCCTTCCTTTTTTTTCTGTAATCGAAACGCAATACAAATTGTTAAATTGAAAAAAAAGCCAAAAATAAATAAAAAAAACGAATGCAAGACTGATCCCGTTAGTCAAAACTTCTGACACTTTTTTTTGGTAGAGGGAATGTTCATGGCTGCAAATGGTCTATTTTTTGAAACTCATTAATACTTCTTTGTTCCAAACTTAACACTTTCTGTGTGCAGAAATCTAAAGTGAATACATTATCAGATTTTTCTTTTTTGCTTGTTAGGCTGCCCGGATCAGACAGGGCTACAAGTGGCTTATACCATTCTATTTGTCAACTGACATAACTGAATTAATACAGTACACCATAATGTTACAGACATACCTGAAATTTGCTTCTGTTTTCACTAGGATGTGCGCCAATAACAGGTGGAGTGAAAAGTTCATGTCTGTGAGTTCTCTGAAAGAGAGAGAAAGATGCCTGTGTAATGTGGTCAATGAACAGCCACAGTATATACACATTACAGAACCAACATGCAGAGTCAGTTTAACCCCTTAAGGACACATGACATGTGTGACATGTCATGATTCCCTTTTATTCCAGAAGTTTGGTCCTTAAGGGGTTAAACTTCTGAAAAAAAAAGTGATGATCCAAAGTTGATAAAAACAAGTATCATTGGACTGGAGTACTAAAATCAAGAGCCGAGGGTGTAGTTGGAAATTAGTGACAAGTTAGCAAATTTCCTAGCCAATCGTGTTCCTTTCACAACTTTCTATAGGAGAGTAGATGTTCCTCATAATGAATGAAGTGACTCTCAGCAGATTATATGTATAAGGCTGGTATACAATCTCTGAAAACATCCTGTTGACGAGATGTTTCATGCTTGCTTGTCTCACTCTTTCGGACAAGGAGATAGAGCTAAGGTATATGCCAACTAATGGAGCTCTCTAGAAAAGAGATCTGGGGATTTTTTTAAAAAAAATTTTTTTTTATATTTTTGTTATCTTCATGAAACCATTTTCTAAAGTCATGATAAATGAGGAGACTATATTAAAAGAAGAAAAACTACCACAACAAGAGGACATAGTCTTAAATTAGAGGGGCAAAGGTTTAAAAATATCAGGAAGTATTACTTTACCGAGAGGGTAGTGGATGCATGGAATAGTCTTCCAGCTGAAGTGGTAGAGGTTAACACAGTAAAGGAGATTAAGCATGCGTGGGATAGGCATAAGGCTATCCTAACTATAAGATAAGGCCAGAGACTAATAAAAATATTTAGAAAATTGGGCAGACTAGATGGGCCGAATGGTTCTTACCTGCCATCAAATTCTAAGTTTCTATGATATCGGTATCGAGTAATTTTCTGTACATACTCTAAGACTAACCAGGAACCATAAGAATGCTAAATTGAACCTGGCATGAGCATACAAAGAAACAACAAATTAACATCTTTACCTGCTGCAGGATTGTATATCGCTCACGAAACAGCTCTGCTTTGTCTCTGGAGCTGCCAATGAGACTGGGTGCAGGAAGATCAGTCATGTTCAAACTGCAAACATATAGAAAGATATATTACATAACTGCCATGCTACAGCTCCGCAATCAACTATATTAAAGAATTTGAAACATAGAATGTGACTGCAGTTAAGAACCGTTTGACCAATCTAGTCTGCCCGATTTTCTAAATATTTTCATTAGTCCCTGGCCTTATCTTATAGTTAGGATAGTCTTATGCCTATCCCATGCATGCTTAAACTCCTTTACTGTGTTAACCTCTACCACTTCAACTGGAAGGCTATTCCATGCATCCACTACCCTCTGAGTAAAGTAAAACTTCCTGATATTATTTTTAAACCTTTACCTCTCTAATTTAAGACTATGTCCTCTTGTTGCGGTAGATTTTTTTTTGTTTTTAAGAATGTGTGTATACCCAGTTAAATTTGCACTTCTATCGCTTGCAGACGTAAAATAAATGCAAGATAAATAAAAGTGAATTTACTAAACTGTGAATTGTGGATATTTGAGATTGTTTTTGCAAATAAGACTTTTCCAATTTGAAGAATTTTATATCTCTATTACTCTGGCCTAACAGTTACAATTTCTTTGTGAATTTTCCACAATTTGCATTTTACTAACAAACTCCATATCACTTTCCAGTTCAAATATGAAATACAAAGTTCAAGTCGCAAAAAGCAACTTACGGAAGGAATTTTTTTCTTTCTGAATTGTAGACGTAACGAGGTATGTTATATGCACCAATAATATTAAAAATATTCTCTCTGTATAGAACAAAAGAAAAAAAAAAATGAAATAAAACACACTCAAATACAATAAGGAACATTTAATTGTTTTCTATTGTGATCACTCTATACAGCATGGGTGTTGCCAGTCATAGGGCAGCATTGGGACATTCATATCCTAGTCTGCCTGAGTTCAGAGAGAGTTGCACTCCCAGTGGCAGTTGTCATTGCTGTTTATCTCCCCAGCTCCCCTCTTGTCAAACAGTGTGACTGTCTCCCCAGTTAATCTGCCACCATAGCAGTACCAGAAAAGTAATAATGAATAATAACCACAGTTGCAACTCCCACTAATCTAATGCAGACCAACACTAGCATGTCGGAGTTCTGCCCTAAGATTAAAGGCCCTACACAGACAACGCAGTATAAAATATAGACATTATTCTATACAGTTTAGCACAGTTTTTGAATGTAGTCAGGGAAAAATATTGCAATCTTGCAGATCTTCAAGTTAGTATATTATGATGTTTCAAGATGTCCTTAAGATATATACCAATATAAACAGTCCATACATCTCCCATGATTCTATGCCTACTAGAAGGAAGCATGTGAGGATCTCTGGTAGGCAATGTATCATGAAAGATTGAGTCAACAGTATACGCATTTATGAGTTTACTTACAATCAAACTTTAGATAACGCCTTAATGACCAATGACATTTAATTAATAAAATCTGATGCCTGAACACCCTGCTTATTGAGCATTATCACATGTATACAGCTTTGCTGCTGTTAAATTAATGATACGTTCTGTTTTGAAACAGAACCTTTAAAGACTGAAAAGTTGTATATACATAAAACATGTAAACAAATAAGATGAATTATCAGAACATACTAATTATTTAAAAATATCACTTATCACAAACAGGGTTTGTTTATTGCACTCAAAATATTTTTCATCATACATGTTTTCATCGCAGGACCGGCTACATTCTTGTACTGCTGTCTCCACGGCCGACAGTTCGATCATATTAGAAGACACTGAAAGAAGATAAAATATTGATTATGGACATGTGAATGGCAACACCATCAAAAAAGGAGTTTATTCTGAGTGGGCAAATATAAATCAAGCTATCTTTGTTTTTAGAAAAGTCAACCGTAGCAGATGTTGTGTAACATACATTTTAAAAGGATGGGCGTTAAGTTGTAGATATAATACGTTGGATGATCCAAGGGCACTCATCTAAGTACTGAATTCATCTGAAGGTACCCTAAAATTCTGCAAAGAACAGACAGAGAAACTTTAGATTCAACCGGTATATTATACCACTTAAATCCTCAGTTCTCACGAGTGTAGCGCTAGATATAAACATGCAAAGTGAGTTTATCAGTGAAAATAGTGCTTCAAATGCACTTACCCTCTATATTGTACTTTTGTTTCTTTGTAACATATAAAAAGAAAATACACAAATAGTAGTGCAGTATGTCAAATGAATATTTAAAAAAGTCCTTTTCTGCGAGTTATAAATTGAAATAAACTCACATTTTCTAGAGCCTTTTACAGTTTTAAGGCTCTAAACTTCCAGATGTCTGTGTCTTTTTGGGTAGATCACACGACCCCTCTCTCAAGGTGAAAAAGCGTATGTTCCTCTCCACATTGCGTAGAACAAAGACACGCATTTGAAGCACTATTTTCACTTATAAACTCACTTTGCATGTTTATATCTAGCGCTACACTCGTGAGAACTGAGGATTTAAGTGGTATAATATACCAGGATTCACTGTGCTGAGCACTGTGTCACTCAGTATATAGCAGTGTTCATTGTGCAGTGCATGTGTTCAGTATATAGCAGGATTCATTGTGCAGAGCACTGTGTCACTCAGTATATAGCAGGATTCATTGTGCAGAGCACTGTGTCACTCAGTATATAGCAGGATTCATTGTGCAGAGCACTGTGTCACTCAGTATATAGCAGGATTCATTGTGCAGAGCACTGTGTCACTCAGTATATAGCAGGATTCATTGTGCAGAGCACTGTGTCACTCAGTATATAGCAGGATTCATTGTGCAGAGCACTGTGTCACTCAGTATATAGCAGGATTCATTGTGCAGAGCACTGTGTCACTCAGTATATAGCAGGATTCATTGTGCAGAGCACTGTGTCACTCAGTATATAGAAGGATTAATTGTGCAGAGCACTGTGTCACTCAGTATATAGCAGGATTCACTGTTCATAACACTGTGTGTGTCATTCAGAATATAGCAGGATTCATTGTGCAGAGCACTGAGTGTCATTCAGTATATAGCAGGATTCACTGTTCATAGCACTGTGTGTGTGTCATTCAGTATATAGCAGGATTTATTGTGCAGAGCACTGTGTGTCATTGAGTATATAGCAGGATTCATTGTGCAGAGCACTGAGTGTCATTCAGTATATAGCAGGATTCATTGTGCAGAGCACTGAGTGTCATTCAGTATTTAGAAGGATTCATTGTGCAGAGCACTGAGTGTCATTCAGTATATAGCAGGATTAATTGTGCAGAGTGAGGTTTCCAAAGTTGAAACCCAATCAAATTAGACAAATACTTACAAGGCTGCTTTTCAACAGTGTCTATGATGCGATCAATCACATCTTCAAGTTCCACCTCAGTCACAGAACTTAGTACATCTGTGAGATATTTACTGGCCTCTCTAGAAAATTAAATTTAAAGAGAATTACATTGGTGTCTAAACAGTGCATCCAAAGCTTTTGAAGAAAGAAAACATAAAAAAAAAAAATGGTGAATGTTTAGTGAAATCGCCAGCTATATATTATTTTTTTTATTATTTTTTTTCCTGTTATGAAGAATGAATGGAATAGGAGAAAATATAGAACCATTATACTTTTTTGTTATGTTACCTTTGACATAAACATTGCAATTTCTGTGACCATGAGATTCTGTATACTGCTACTGTAGGTGTCAATAGGACGTCATGACTCATTGACTGAGAGTGCGCAGCTGATGCTCTCAGCTAATGACTGACAAATTCTGCACAAGCCAGTTAAGCTGCCATCGCAGTCTCCGTTGCAAAATGGGAAAACTCATATCACACAGAAGCCCCCCATTGATTCAATGCTTTGAAGTTTGAATTTGCGCCATTCGAGGAGTATTAGATTGGAAAGTATCGATGAAGGGGCCATGCCTCCTCCGTGATGTTGAGGGAGGCGACAAAATTCCTTTAACAATATTACAAAGAAAAGGAAAAAAAAAAAACAGTTGACCAAATTTATTTAAATAATTGTAAATCTAGGGAACTGATCTATACAGTGAGGGTTTAAAGCTCACAGAACATGAAAAAAAAATGTGTTTTTTTGGGTGGTGAGTGCCAGGTACAATCCTACCACCAATGCATCGGGGGTGGGGGTGATGGTGTTTTGTTTTATGATTATTTCATTCCATTATTATTATAGACTGTATATAGTATTACAGACTGTATATAGTATTATTACACACTGTATATAGTATTATACACTGTATATAGTATTATTACAGACAGTATATAGTATTATACACTGTATATAGTATTATACACTATATAGTATTACAGACAGTATATAGTATTATACACTGTATATAGTATTGTTATACACTAATATTACAGACTGTGTATATAGTATTATACACTGTATATAGTATTTATTATAGACTGTATATAGTATTATTACAGACTATAGTATTTGTGGCGAAACCAACCTCGCCACTGTGAACTGGAGAAGCCTGGTTGCTCGCCTGCTCCCTTTGGACTATGGCCCTGCAGGTTAAACCGTTTATTTCCCCTGCAGAAAGGCTTATTTGTGTGATCAGAGTGCCATTCATCTAATAATGTGCACTCAGATCCCAGCTATCTGGGGATATGTGATGTATATTTTGGGAGTTATGAATGTTGTGTAAAAACTGTATTTTCCCTACCTATGATAATTGTATTTCCCTGTGTGTACAGATAATTAGTTTACAGGTAGAGGGGAGGGCTATGTGTGGGATGTAACTATTGTGTGATTGGTTAATGTACGTTACTGTGTGTGTCCCTCCCCTTCATGGGAGCACCTAATAAAAAGGGCTGCAAGCTAGCAGCCAGAGAGTTCTATTTTTACCCTCAACTTGAGTCCTGTCTCTTATTGGGGGAATCTGCTACAAGGGATTGCTATGCTAGGCATATTCCCTTGCTATAATCACTGAGCTCTTGTAAGAGCTTGTTCCTGCTTCGTTCTGAAGGGAGATAGCTGCAGCCTGCGGTGCTTATGGTGTCTGGTGGAGTGCTTGGAGTCCTCTGGAAGCGCTAGGAGCATCTTTCAACGGAGGTACCCAGTCGGGGTGCCAGGTGATCCGTTACATTGGTGGCAGCGGTGGGATGGCGTCCTAGTGCGAGGTAAAGCAGCTCGGAGACACAGTTCGTGGATTTACAAATTGAGGGCAACGCTAGTACCCGTACAGCGACCCTATCTACAAAAGAACTAACTTCAGCAGAGCAAGCATGGCATATGACTACACTCAGGAGGAGTTTGACAGAGAGGTTAATGAGGTGCTGTCTACCTTTGGACCCAACCCCCCAGAGAGAGCCGTGCAGCTCGCCAGGAAACTAGTAGGAGAATACCTGCAATCTCTAGTAGATTTGGCCAAAAAGGAGTCCCAGGGAGCTGAAGGTGTCGTCCTTCCTCCCCAGCGGCAGTGTGTGTCCCAGGGAGCTGAAGGTGCCGTCCTTCCTCCCCAGCGGCAGTGTGTATCCCAGGGAGCTGAAGGTGCAGTCCTTCCTCCCCAGCGGCAGTGTGTATCCCAGGGAGCTGAAGGTGCAGTCCTTCCTCCCCAGCGCAGTGTGTATCCCAGGGAGCTGAAGGTGCAGTCCTTCCTCCCCAGCGGCAGTGTGTATCCCAGGGAGCTGAAGGTGCAGTCCTTCCTCCCCAGCGGCAGTGTGTAACCCAGGGAGCTGAAGGTGCTGTCCTTCCTCCCCAGCGGCAGTGTGTACCCCAGGGAGCTGAAGGTGCCGTCCTTCCTCCCCAGCGGCAGTGTGTATCCCAGGGAGCTGAAGGTGCCGTCCTTCCTCCCCAGCGGCAGTGTATATCCCAGGGAGCTGAAGGTGCAGTCCTTCCTCCCCAGCAGCAGTGTGTACCCCAGGGAGCTGAAGGTGCCGTCCTTCCTCCCCAGCGGCAGTGTGTATCCCAGGGAGCTGAAGGTGCAGTCCTTCCTCCCCAGCGGCAGTGTGTACCCCAGGGAGCTGAAGGTGCAGTCCTTCCTCCCCAGCGGCAGTGTGTACCCCAGGGAGCTGAAGGTGCCGTCCTTCCTCCCCAGCGGCAGAGTGTCCTGCAGGGAGCAGAGACCGTCAGTCTCGCACCCCAACCACAGGACAAAATAATGAAAGGGGAGACAGCTGGTCCCCCTCTCCACCAGCAGAGAGAGTGTCAGGGAGAGGAGCCTGATACCCCTTCTCCCCAGCGGCAGTTTACAGTTCAGAGAGAGGAGCTTGTTACACCCTCTCTCCAGCGGCAGCCTAACCCAGCAAGGGGAGATGTTACACCCCCCAACAGTGCAGATGGGACTGTAGTCTCTGCACTTACAGCACAAGGGATAGGGACAGTCGGTCCTGTTCCCCAGCCACAAAGCGGTGTATCCAGAGGGGAGACAGTCGGTCTCTCCCTCCCACAACCAGGCTCCCACCAGGCTACTTCCGTGGTAGCACTGGCATCAGGGCAGAGTACCGCTGGTCTCTGCCCACTCAGCAACCCACCAAGGCAGCCTAACAGTTGCCCACACAGTCGTGGTGAGGCACCTGGACATGGACAAAGTTCTCCTCTACCCAGGTGTAGTAACCAGTTATTGTGGGTGGGCTGTACTGCTGTTTCTGTTTTGTGGGTGGGTTGCTGGACTAACCAGGGCACTGACCGGCAGGAGGTCAGATACCCTGTTAGTCTAGTTGGTAAAGGGGAGAAGTGTGGCGAAACCAACCTCGCCACTGTGAACTGGAGAAGCCTGGTTGCTCGCCTGCTCCCTTTGGACTATGGCCCTGCAGGTTAAACCGTTTATTTCCCCTGCAGAAAGGCTTATTTGTGTGATCTGAGTGCCATTCATCTAATAATGTGCACTCAGATCCCAGCTATCTGGGGATATGTGATGTATATTTTGGGAGTTATGAATGTTGTGTAAAAACTGTATTTTCCCTACCTATGATAATTGTATTTCCCTGTGTGTACAGATAATTAGTTTACAGGTAGAGGGGAGAGCTATGTGTGGGATGTAACTATTGTGTGATTGGTTAATGTACGTTACTGTGTGTGTCCCTCCCCTTCATGGGAGCACCTAATAAAAAGGGCTGCAAGCTAGCAGCCAGAGAGTTCTATTTTTACCCTCAACTTGAGTCCTGTCTCTTATTGGGGGAATCTGCTACAAGGGATTGCTATGCTAGGCATATTCCCTTGCTATAATCACTGAGCTCTTGTAAGAGCTTGTTCCTGCTTCGTTCTGAAGGGAGATAGCTGCAGCCTGCGGTGCTTATGGTGTCTGGTGGAGTGCTTGGAGTCCTCTGGAAGCGCTAGGAGCATCTTTCAACGGAGGTACCCAGTCGGGGTGCCAGGTGATCCGTTACAGTATTATACACTGTATATAGTATTATGCACTGTATATAGTATTATAGACTATATATTATAGACTGTATATTACAGACAATTATATACAGTATATATATTACAGACAGTTATTATATACAGTATATAGTATTACAGACTGTGTGTGTGTGTGTGTATATATATATATATATATATATATATTATACACTGTACATAGTATTATAGACTGTATATAATATTACAGACAATTATATACAGTATATACAGACTGTATATAGTATTACACACTATATATTATACACTGTATATAGTATTATAGACTGTATATAATATTACAGACAATTATATACAGTATATAGTATTACAGACTGTATATAATATTAGAGTTATTATATACAGTATATAATATTACAATTATATACAGTATATAGTATTACAGACTGTATATATCCCATTATAGACTGTATATAATATTACAGACTGTTATATAAAGTATATAGTATTATAGACTGTATATATTACAGACAGTTATACACAGTATATATTACAATTATATACAGTATTACAGACTGTATATATTATAGTATAGACTGTATATATTACAATTATATACAGTATATAGTATTACAGACAGTTATATACAGTATATAATATTACAGACTTTATATATTATAGACTGTATATAATATTAAAGACAGTTATTATATACAGTATATAGTATTACAGACAATTATATACAGTATATAGTATTACAGACTGTATATATTATATTATAGACTGTATATTACAGACAGTTATATACAGTATATAGTATTACAGTTATATACAGTATATAATATTACAGACAGTTATTATACACAGTATATAGTATTACAGACTGTATATATTATATTATAGACTGTGTATATTATTATATACAGTATATAGTATTACAGACTGTATAATATAGACTGTATATAATATTACAGTTATATACAGTATATAGTATTACAGACTATATATTATAGACTATATAATAGTTATATACAGTATATAGTATTACAGACTGTATATATTATAGACTGTATAATATTACACAGTTTTTTATATGCAGTATATAGTATTACAGACAGTTATTATATACAGTATATAGTATTACAGACTGTATAATATAGACTGTATATAATATTACAGTTATATACAGTATATAGTATTACAGACTGTATATATTATAGACTGTATATAATATTTATATACAGTATATAGTATTACAGACTGTATATATTATAGACTGTGTATAATATTACACAGTTTTTTATATGCAATATATAGTATTACAGACAGTTATATACAGTATATAGTATTACAGACTATATATTATATTATAGACTGTATAATATTACAAATATATACAGTATATAGTATTACAGTTATGTACAGTATATAGTATTACAGACTGTATATATTATAGACTGTGTATAATATTACAGACAATTATATACAGTATATAGTATTACAGACTATATATATATTATAGACTGTATATAATATTACAGACAGTTATTATATACGGTATATAGTATTACAGACTGTATATATTATATTATAGACTGTATATAATATTACAGACAGTTAATATGATGGGGGTGATGGTGTTTTGTTTTATGATTATTTCATTCCATTATTATTATACACTGTATATAGTATTTATTACAGACTGTATATAGTATTATTAGACTGTGTATTGTATTATTACAGACTGTATATTGTATTATTACAGACTATATAGTATTATTATACACTGTATATAGTATTATTACAGACAGTATATAGTATTATAGACTGTATATAGTATTATTATAGACTATATAGTATTACAGACAGTATATAGTATTATAGACTATATAGTATTACAGACAGTATATAGTATTGTTATACACTGAAATATTACAGACTGTGTATATAGTATTATACACTGTATATAGTATTTATTATAGACTGTATATAGTATTATTACAGACTGTATATAGTATTATTACAGACTTTATATAGTATTATTACAGACTATATATTATTATACACTGTATATAGTATTATGCACTATATATATATAATATTACAGACTGTATATAGTATTATACACTGCATATAGTATTTATTATAGACCATATATAGTAATACACTGTATAGGGTATTATTACAGACTATTTAGTATTATTATGCATTGCATATAGTATTATACACTGTATATAGTATTACAGACTGTGTGTGTGTGTGTGTGTGTGTATATATATATATATTACACACTGTATATAGTATTATAGACTGTATATATTATAGACTGTATATAATATTACAGACAATTATATACAGTATATATTACAGACAATTATATACAGTATATAGTATTACAGACTGTATATATTACAGACAGTTATATACAGTATATAGTATTACAGACTGTATATATCCCATTATAGACTGTATATAATATTACAGACAGTTATATACAGTATATAGTATTATAGACTGTATATATCGTAGACTGTATATAATATTACAGACAGTTATTATATACAGTATATATTGCAGACAGTTATATACAGTATATAGTATTACAGACTGTGTGTATATATATATATATATATATATATGTATATATACACATATATTATACACTGTACATAGTATTATAGACTGTATATAATATTACAGACAATTATACAGTATATATTACAGACTATATAGTATTACACACTATATATTATACACTGTATATAGTATTATAGACTGTATATAGTATTACTGACAATTATATACAGTATATAATATTACAGCTATTATATACAGTATATAGTATTACAGACTATGTAATATTACATAGTTATTATATACAGTATATAATATTACAGACAGTTATTATATACAGTATATAATATTATAGACAGTTATATACAGTATATAGTATTATAGACTGTATATATTACAGACATTTATACACAGTATATATTACAGACAATTATATACAGTATTACAGACTGTATATATTATATTATAGTATGTATATATTACAATTATATACAGTATATAGTATTACAGACAGTTATATACAGTATATATTACAGACTATATATTAGACTGTGTATAATATTAAAGACAGTTATATACAGTATATAGTATTACAGACAATTATATACAGTATATAGTATTACAGACTGTATATATTATATAGACTGTGTATATTACAGTTATATACAGTATATAGTATTACAGTTATATACAGTATATAATATTACAGACGTTATTATACACAGTATATAGTATTACAGACTGTATTTATTATAGACTGTTTATATTAGTTATATACAGTATATAGTATTACAGACTATATATTATAGACTGTGTATAATATTACACACCGTTTTTTATATGCAGTATAATAATATTACAGTTATTACACACAGTATAATATTACAGTTATTACACACAGTATAATAATATTACAGTTATTACACACAGTATATATTACAGTTATTATACACAGTATATATTACAGTTATACACAGTAATATTACAATTATACACAGTAATATTACAATTATACACAGTATATAACATTAGTTATTATACACAGTATATAATATTAGTTATATACAGTATAATAGTTATATACAGTATATAATATTAGTTATATACAGTATATAATATTACAGTTATACACAGTATATAATAATATTACAGTTATTATACACAGTATAATAATATTACAGTTATTATATACAGTATGTAATACACAGTATATAATATTACAGTTATTATACACAGTATAATAATATTACAGTTATTATACACAGTATATAATATTACAGTTATTATATACAGTATGTAATACACAGTATAATAATATTACAGTTATTACACACAGTATATAATAATATTACAGACAGTTCCCCCTATGGCAGTGATTACTGTACACTGCCCATAACAGGAAGCCTGACTCGGGTAACAGCCCTGTACATGCTGGTATGACTATGAGGTGACTCGGTTACTCACGCCCGCAGTAACAGGCCGTGCATTTTGAAGGCTGAGGCCACTTTGCTCTTCAGCTTGCAGGCAGCCATTCTCCAAAGGTTCGCGCCAAGTCCCGGGGACAGCTGACACTGACGTCACTTCCGCCCAGCTTCTGGTACCTGAAGCAGAACGCTGGCACAGGCCTCCGCTCTGCGCATGCGCACTGACAAACAACATCCTGCCTTGTGCATGTGTCTGCTAATAAAAGAGGCATTGCTCTACCACATACTGTACAACTATTGCCTTCTGAAGAAAAGAGAGAAAAAAAAAAACAAGTTACAATTTACCAGGAAATAAATAAATAAATGTCAATGAGTTAATACTAAAAGAGCATTTTTTAAATGGTGATTTGGTGTAGCCTAGAGATGTCAGCTGGTGTCTTTTGTTTATTATTCTCTCCCATTAAATTAAGGATAATTATAAAAAAATGTCTGTAAGGTTTAGAACTAGGAAAAAATGTAGGTGTCCATGAGCTCACAAATCAATTAAAAATATAAATGGTGACTTGGTGCGTTTTAGTCATTATCTGCTGTAGGAATGACTTTTTGTCCACTGTATAGTTACCGTACAGGTACAGTACAGTAACTTTAATTAGGAATAATTATATAAATTGCAACCTACAGAAAAGCAGTGTTTGAACAGCAACCGTTAGCTGCGGGCGGTACACAAAGTCCACCACAAGCAATTGTAGTAATTGTCTCTAGTAAAGAGGGACAGGGAATGAAGCTCAAGTTGTAGGTGCCAAATTTAGACTGTTTGGCACCAAAATAGTAGGCCTGATAGGGGATAGGAGCTTAGCAAGCAGCCGTGCATACTAGCTGTATATGGATTCTCCTCCCAAAACCACCTTAACCACTGTTAGCTTCAAGTGCCACCACTAGTTCAACTACTGCTGGTCCCACTGCTGCCATGACTCCTACTATATTTTATACTTGCAGGGTAGTTTCATCGTAGTCTGAGAGGTCGCCTCTTCCAAGTCTGTATAAGCATCCTAATAGGGTGTTAAGAAAGAGAGCGGGCAGGGTAATCCCCACCATAACCACTGCAAGTAGCACGAATATTGCCAGTAGTATCGTAAGAAGGACAGACTCTGGAGGAGTAGTAAATATTTCCATTGTGCAAAGTAGTCAGGGAGAAGAGAGTATCGACAACATGTTATTAGACATGTGCTACTTATCCATCATCTTAGAGAGGAGGAGGAATGATTGGCACCCTGCTGACCTACCAACCATCTATCAACTAGTTATCTCCTAATCAGGAACCTAATTGTCTTATTGCAATACAACCAAAACAAATCAACACATAAATAAAATTTGGTTTATTCGAATTGATCGTATAATTTTGACAAATTGGCTAAATATTTCCACTGTGTACATGTCTATTACCACCCTATATATCACATTTGCCTTCCTGAAATGTATTGTATTGGTTTGTTACTGTCTAACTGTACTGGTTTGTCACTATCTTTTCTTATGTCCTTTACCCTTCTTCTTATTACCTTGAAAGGGAGCTGGAGTTGAACCTCATCCCTTGGCTCCAGTGGTTTGCTGCTGGGATCTCTCTTTACTATCTCGCATACCCGCCAACATTTCAAATGGACAAAGAGGGACTCTTTAATTTTAGGGGTGTTAGTGGGTGTGTGGCTGTTCAGAGAAGTTTTCCTGATTTGCTAATAACAATGTTTTTCAACTAAATTGTAATTCAGAACAAGAAAAATGTATCTTATATACACATGTTTATTGCAGTTTGAAGAGACACATTACTGTGAATATTATTGTTGTAGAGTTCTGTTATACACTCAGACAAAGCAACAATATGGAGTTTCTAAATGGACATTAGTATTGAAAAGAGGGACAGAGGACTTTGGGTCCAAAATTGGTACTGTGCCTCCTAAATAGGGACACTTGGGAGGTATGCCAGCTCTCTGCAGCTCTGTAATGAAGCCCTACCTAAGGTGATGTCCCATCCTGACTCCAGATTTGGTAAAGGATCCTAGGGAGCTAGGCTATCAGTACTGAGAGATCCCAGCAGCTCCCTCGTGACCCACTCTCTTGCCAGCAATGCAATGCAAGTACAAGTGCTTTGCTTTTAATGGGGGATGACCGCCTTCCCCCCATCGTGTTAGTACACTTCTGGGCACATCAATGGTTATTTTTTTTGGCAAATATGGTGATGTGTAAATCATAGCATTAATGATGACATGTGGTAAGGGGTGGAAAATATTTGCATGTGTATAAAATATAGCAAGTAAAAGGTTACACATTGCATGAAAGGTGACCCATTGTGGTTGGTGAGGATTGAAATATGAAAAATAAGGAGTAGATTATGGCAAGGGGATAAAATATGACACCAGGGAAGAAATAAGGCATTACAAATCTTTACGTGGCATGGTCTCTTTATTTAAAAATAATCAAGTGAATATCCTGCCCCAAACCTTAATGCAACAGGCAGGAGCTGATATGATAATGTTGATACGTGCGATAACAGGCCTTTGGGGAGTTGTCCCAATGAACTATGTTATTTTGGCAGTAAATCCATAAACGATACTGGTAAATAATTAACGAAGAAAATGTGTTTTCTTCTCTTTTCCTTGTATAACCACAATCTGTAATATTGTATTCAATCACTAAAATGTTTAATTTGATGTAAAATACCTATTTTTTGGATCGTTTAGGAAGATTTATTTGCTAAAATTCACATCCCTTGGCTGGGAATTTTCAATGCAATCCATATATGTTTGTAATCCTGGACTACCCATACATTGTAAATACCCTGAATGATATGAATCATCCTCTCACTCTATTTGCAAATCTGATTAATGCTTTACAGTTGCATAATTTTGCACGCTTAAGTCGTGATTGTGTCAACTGCAAAAATTGACACAAAATGAAGAGCGTCACCTGGGCATATAAACTGGCATAACCAAATAACTAAATAACCCAATTCATACACATTTCTAATCCTCTGTGTCCATATGTTGTGTTCAGGCAGGGCTGACAAGGTAAGACCACTATCTACAGAGAAAGAGAGACACCTCTAATAGGTATCGGTGGTGACTAAATATTATTCAGAGGTGATAGCTAAAGTCAGAACTCCAGTCAGAATCCAGGTTGGCCTGTAAATGTTCCAAGGGTCAATACAACTAACAGACAGAGAATGGTGAATTAACAATACGGGTTAGCAAAACAGGAATCAGGATAAATGAGGAAACTAGCCAAATAACTAACATAAGCTAAAATGATTATTATTAGCATTTATATATCGCCAACATATTCCACAGTGCTTTACAATTATAGAATGGGAATATTTGACATCAAGTACTTGGCATACAAAAATTAACAGAGACAAGAGATGAAGAAGGCCCTGCTCAAACGAGCTTCCAATATATTAAAGAGGTTTCTTCTGAAGCCTTACTTGCCTAATTGACATTTGCGTAAAAAAACGCAGAAATATTGACACGTGAGTCAAACGAAGAAAGCTATCTGAGCGGGTTCAGCCAGAGAGACCGTCAGTCAGCACGGTGCACCCAGACTGACCCACCTCTCTTCTCCGCCACCTTGGCAGGTCGCCAGACGCCATTGTCTGGACGCAACTTCTGGACTAAAAGGACGCAACTTCTGAAATAAAAGGTAACCGTGACGGAATATTTCTGTGTCCTTTAGGGGTTAAATTTTTAAACATCGGCTCCAGAAAATTCACATTTTCCTGAATAATAATTCCCGAGTTACAGTTATTTAAAATGGTTAGAAATTTTAACATTTACACAAACATATCTCAGCGGTGACTGTAGCTGTATTAGATATTTTTATTTTCCAGCCATTTGAGCTATATTTGCCTTTTAATATTTGCAATTGGGTGTCTATTCCCTGCAGTGAGTGGTTTAGTGAATAAGCCCTGTCATTCTGTCATCACGTGACATGTGGGATATCAATGGGTAGCTTGTTTCCTGCCTGTCAGATATACCCCATTATTCACCCAGCACAGTATACCCCCTCCCCCTGCCAGTAGTGCCCCCATGGCAGTACATGCCCCCCCTCTCCCCGGCTCTCTGTGTCTCCCTAGTGGCGGCTTTTCAGACAGGCGCCAGTCGGGGCAGTCCGGTTGCTACGGGATCCCGGGGTCCTGAGATTTGAACTGGTTTCAGCCAATCAGAGCAGCGCTGGGGAGAGCGGGAGAGACGGATGGCGGAGGGTTAGACGGGATGTAGAGTGAGCGAAGACAGGAACAGGAAAGTGGGGAGAAACGGAACGGCCTGAGAGAGTAACGGAGACCGCGGTGTGAGGCTGTGATGGTACTGAGTGTGAGCAGGGTATAGGAGGCTATTATTACACTGTGAGTGTGAGCAGGGTATAGGAGGCTATTATTATACTGTGAGTGTGAGTGAGAGCAGGGTATAGGAGGTTATTATTATACTGTGAGTGTGAGTGTGAGCAGGGTATAGGAGGCTATTATTATAGTGTGAGTGTGAGCAGGGTATAGGAGGCTATTATTATACTGTGAGGGTCTGAGTGTGAGAAGAGGAAGTTACACTGAGTGTGAGCAGGGTATAGGAGGTTATTATACTATAAGGGCCTGAGTGTGAGAAGAGGAAGTTACACTGAGTGTGAGTGAGAGCAGAATATAGGAGGTTATTATACTATAAGGGCCTGAATGTGAGAAGAGGAAGTTACACTGAGTGTGAGCAGGATATAGGAGGTTATTATACTATAAGGGCCTGAGTGTGAGAAGAGGAAGTTACACTGAGTGTGAGCAGAATATAGGAGGTTATTATACTGTGAGGGCCTGGTGGGCACTGAGTATATGTAAGGGGAGGTTATATTGAGCCAGAGATGAGGAAGTTACACTGAGTGAGAGCAGGCTAAAAGAGGTTATTATACTGTGATGGCCTGGTGGGCACTTGGTGTATGTGAGGGGAGGTTATCTTGAGTGAGAGTAAGTTATAGGTTATAATACTGAGCAGGTTATATTGTGGGAGAGCTATAGCGGTTGTTGTTGTTATACTGTGAGAGGCTGGAATGGACTGACAGCACGGTGACAGGACTAAGAGAGACACCGATATCATGAAGCAGAGTCCGGACTATCCAAACCTGGCCAGACTGGCCGTCATCCAGCACCTCCGCTCCTATGGCATCAAAATCAAACACTGGAACTGCAAGCAACGTCCTGACACAGGGAAAGGACAGCCTAGTGTGAGTATACTGTTTGCTTACATAGCCAGCCCAGTGTGAGTATACTGTCTGCTTACATAGCCAGCCCAGTGTGAGCATGCCGTCTGCTTGCGTAGCCAGCCCAGTGTGAGCATGCCGTCTGCTTGCGTAGCCAGCCCAGTGTGAGCATGCCGTCTGCTTGCGTAGCCAGCCCAGTGTGAGCATGCCGTCTGCTTGCGTAGCCAGCCCAGTGTGAGCATGCCGTCTGCTTGCGTAGCCAGCCCAGTGTGAGCATGCCGTCTGCTTGCGTAGCCAGCCCAGTGTGAGCATGCCGTCTGCTTGCGTAGCCAGCCCAGTGTGAGCATGCCGTCTGCTTGCGTAGCCAGCCCAGTGTGAGCATGCCGTCTGCTTGCGTAGCCAGCCCAGTGTGAGCATGCCGTCTGCTTGCGTAGCCAGCCCAGTGTGAGCATGCCGTCTGCTTGCGTAGCCAGCCCAGTGTGAGCATGCTGTCTGCTGTAAAAGTGTACTTTAGTGTATTTTTTTTTGCAATTTTATTAAAAGCAAATAGCGTATTTTATTAAGTCATTATTAAAGTAACAACATTGTGTCTGGGATAATGGGCAAGAGCTCCAGACCTCCGTGAACACTGCGGTGGGTGCTGCATGTCCGTTGGGGAGCCCTGCATTGGGTGCTGTATGTGCATAGTACACGGAGTGCTGAGTGTTTAAAGGAAAACCTTGCATTGGGTGCTCTGTGTGCCCATCAGGGTGCCTGTAATGAATGCTGCTCTGCCAAGGAATATCCTTCATTGGGTGCTGTCCTGCAGCAAGTACAGTCTGTGCCAATGAGGGTGCCCTTGCAATGTCTGTGCACAGGAATGCTGTGCCCATCAGGGTGCCCTGCACTAGGTTCTGTCTGTACCAGTGAGGGTGCTCTGCAATTGGTGCTGCTTGTGCCAGTGAGAATGCTCTACAATGGCTGCTGGCTACACCGATGAGGGTGCTCTGCAATGGGTGTGCTCCATAATACCTACCTAGCCCAGTGTGCGTATATCGCCTGGCCTGCACACTTAGCCAGCCCAGTGTGAGTATAGACACCGTCTGTTTACCTTGCCATACCAAAGGGCATTGGTTGCTGGCCTTATTGAACTACACTATATATTTTGTTCAGCTGAGTATAGATGCTATTTACTTACCAAGGGACACTAAATACAGTCCTGGCTAGTGGAGTATAGACACTCCCTGTTTACTTGGGCTAAAATAAGGGACACCACATGCTGGCCAGCCCAATGCGAGTTTAGATCCAATCTGTTTATCTGAGCTATCCCCTAAGGGACACCACATGCTGGCCAGCCCAGTGTCTATAGATAGTGATGTCCCGAACGGTTCGCCGCGGACGGCGAACATATGCGCTGTTTGGTCTGCCCCCTATTCGTCATCATTGAGTAAACTTTGACCCTGTACCTCACAGTCAGCAGACACATTCCAGCCAATCAGCAGCAGACCCTCCCTCCCACCTCCTGGACAGCTTCACAATGAATGTAAAATGGATGCTGTCCAGGAGGTGGGAGGGAGGGTCTGCTGCTGATTGGCTGGAATGTGTCTGCTGACTGTGAGGTACAGGGTCAAAGTTTACTCAATGATGACAGGGGGCGGACCTAACAGCGCATATGTTCGCCGTCCGCGGCGAACCGTTCGGGACATCACTATCTATAGACACTGTTTAATTGGGTTATACTAGAAGTCACAACAAACTTGCCATCCAAGTAGGAGTAAAGGCAATATTTAACCCCTTCCTGACCGCAGACGGAAATATTCAGTCAACCTTGTCCTTCAGTTAGGACCGTTGACTGAAAATTTCCATCATTTACTAAAGTTAACCCCAGATCGCGGGGTTAACGGTGCTCCGGTCTACCTCTGTATTAGAGGCAGACCGGGAGCACCCCGATCGGGCTTCCCCAGCACCGTTGCTCGCTCTGACAAGCTGTCAGAGCAAGCACATGTGCTCAGTATACTCACCTTCCTTCAGGTTCTGTGTGAAGTGCAGGGAGACGGATCAGTGCTGCTGATCTTCTCCCTGTGTAAAAAAATAGTTAAATCCCACCCCCACTTTCCCCTGCTTTAATAAAATTAACCCCTTCCCTGCCAATTGATACAGTGATCAATTGGCAGGGTATACATTTTAATGTCATCTGATTTATTTTTATTTTTTCAAAAAAGTGTTAACAATTTAAAAAAAAAATTTTTTTTTTTTTTTAACCCTCAGGGGTTAAATTTATTTTATTAATTAATTTAAATATTTAAAAATTATATATTTAGCTAGCTGGGATGGGTGGAAGTTAGTGGGGAATTGGGGAATTTGGTGTTAGGCTAACTAGGGGTTAACGTTAAAAAAGTTTTAAAATAAGCTTTAAAAAGGTAAAAAAAAAAAAAGTTTTAAAAAAATGTTTTAGTGACGTTTAAGAAAAAAAAAACACCCCCCTTTTCCCAGTCTAAATAAAAATTAACCCCTTCCCTGCCAGTTGAACACTGCCTACAGTGATCAAAATACAGATCACAGTATTATACTGTAATCTAATTTCTTTTAACCCCTGAGGATTAGCTTTTATTTATTTTTTAACCCTCAGGGATTCAATTTAATTAATTTAAATATTTTATAATTATATGTATTTTGCTAGCTGGAGTGGGTGGGAGTTATGGGAAAGGGGGGGAATTTACTGTTAGTGCTGCTTACTGCTAGTTAGGGGTTAACGGTAAAAGAAAAGTTTAAAAAAAAAAACATTTTAAAGTGTAAAAAAAGTTAAGAAAGTGTAAAACATTTAATAAGTTAAAAAAAAAGTTTAAAAACGGGTTTTACAAAGTAAAAAAAATAGATTAAAAAATGCTTATTACCACTACACTTGGTACAAGTTAGCGGAAAAATGATCCCGCGCTAAGGTTCAAAATAAGCCTTTTGAATTGCCCTGGGATGTCTTCTTTAAGAAATGGTATGCCTTTATGGTGTAATTTGATTATATAGCCTTGTAAAATACTCTAAAATGGGACATGGACACAGTATAAAAATTCAAAGTTTGATAAAAACTGGAATGGCTGTGTCCCAAATGTGCCCCTCCGATGTCCACATATACCTGGCAAAGGTACATACGGGGGTATTGCTGTACTCAGCCTACATAGCTGAGCAACATATGAAGTATTATACAGTCGTAGCACACATAAGGTTTGCAAAATATACTGTGCAAACTCACTTTGTGTGTCAAAAAGGCAGAAAAAATGCTTATTACCACTACACTTGGTACAAGCTAGCAGAAAAATTATCCCACGCTAACGTTCAAAATATGCCTTTTGAAATACCCTGGGATGTGTTCTTTAAGAAATGGTATGCCCTTATGGTGTAGTTGTAATATGTAGCCTGCTCAAGTGCTCCAAAGTGGGACACGGACGCATCAAAACCCTCCATGGAAATTCACACTTAAAAACCTTAACTTGTCAAGTCTCTTTTACAGCAGGGTAACTTCACAAAATAGTGTCTAGGTCATACATTGGGCATATTGTTTTACTCAGAAGACTTAGCTGAGCATAATTTGGGGGGTTTAAACTTAGTGGCACATATGAAATGTACAAAATGCCCAGCAAAAATGTAATACGTATGCAAAAAAAAAAAAAATGCCCAAAATAATTTTTTACCATATTGATTAAAGGGACACTGCTCGATCCTCTGCCATTTAGGAGTTAAATCCCTTTGTTTATGAACCCTAGTCACACCTCCCTGCATGTGACTTGCACAGCCTTCCATAAACACTTCCTGTAAAGAGAGCCCTATTTAGGCTTTCTTTATTGCAAGTTCTGTTCAATTAAGATTTTCTTATCCCCTGCTATGTTAATAGCTTGCTAGACCCTGTAAGAGCCTCCTGTATGTGATTAAAGTTCAATTTAGAGATTGAGATACAATTATTTAAGGTAAATTACATCTGTTTGAAAGTGAAACCAGTTATTTTTTTTCATGCAGGCTCTGTCAATCATAGCCAGGGGAGGTGTGGCTTGGGCTGCATAAACAGAAACAAAGTGATTTAACTCCTAAATGACAGTGAATTGTGCAGGGGAATGATCTATACACTAAAACTGCTTTATTTAGCTAAAATAATTTAGGTGACTATAGTGTTCCTTTAAATTGTTTTCCTTCTGCAGCATATGAATCCAACATACTACATTATAGCACTCAACTGCTGATAGTTAACATGTCCCCATTTGCATGTACAAAGGTTATTTTGGAATTTTCATCTCCATTATAAAATGTATGCATATTCTTCATAAAATGATGCATTATACTAGTTTTTTTACGTGCAGAATATTTGTCAATGTCTGTGCGTATCTCCATATTTATACATAAAAAGTGAGGGAATGTTGTGAAAAAGTGTTGTGCAATGGCGTGTGGGGAACTTTAACATTTGACTTGTAATTTGCTGATTATTGCACTTCAGCATATTGTGGTTGTAATTTAGTTATTTTATTTATTCTAGTTGTGTACCATTATGTATTTTTAAACATTAACTATAGAATAAAGATAATTCATTAAACATAACATTTAAAATACTCACATTATTTACTAACCTTCTAATACAGTGGGTTTTAGAAGAGGCCAAAAGAACCCATAAAGGGGTACCAGGACACTCCTAACATTAGGCTTACCAGACCCACCATGTTTACAGTGACACATATTGATGGACAGCACAAGAAAAAGGGTTGCCCTCTGGTATGTAGAATTCAGAAAGTGGTGTATAAGATTAAGTAGGCAAGTCAGAATCCTGCAGAATATGCATTCTACATACTGCAGGGAAATACTTTTCATAAATGATAAAGTTAGGTGTCCCTAAAAAACATTACAATGGGCTTTAGTAATAACTGGGGGGGAAATAATCTCTAAATCCGCTATGTTCCCAGTTCGACTGATTCAGTCTTTCATTTAAAATCCACACTTCAGTTAATAACCCTGACTCTGTTTTGGTTTTTCTCTTTCCTGTAAAATTTGGCTTTTTTTATTATTATTATTTTTTAATTTTTTTATAGCACGGAGGAGAGACCTTTCAACATACAATGTGCAGGTCTATATTAGAAAATGTTAAGAACAGGCATGTGTCTGGAATATAGGACAATATTCATGTCTCTGAACTTCAAGAACTTCAAATAATGTGGAAATGGTACTTTTTCCCCCTGTTCTAATTAAAGCAATAATAAGCTGTAATAAAGATATTAGCTGTAATAATGCTGCTTGTTTACAGAGGATCTGTCACCTTTGAGTTTAGTTCCTTTTTTCCTGATGTATAGTGGCAGTTGACATGGGTAGTTACCCTATACTTGACAGGTGACATAGTTAAAGGGACACTATAGTCACCAGAACAACTGCAGCTTATTGGATTTCTTCTGCTGAGTTGAATCATTCCCTGCAGGCCTTTTTGCTGTAAACTTTCATTTCAGAGAAAATGCTGTGTTTACATTACAGCCTAGTGATAACTTCACTGGCCAGTCCTCAGATGGCTGTTAGAGATCCTTCCTGAGTCATGGCTGCCTAAAATGCATCCAAACATTCAGTATATCCTCCCTCTGCATGCAGACACTGAACTTTCCTCATAGAGATTCATTGATTCAATTCATCTCTATGAGGAGATGCTGATTGGCCAGGGCTGTGTTTGACTCGTACTGGCTCTGCCCCTGATTTGCCTCTTTGCAGTCTCAGCAAATCCTATGGGGAAGCATTGTGTTTGGATCAGGCTACCACTTCTGATGATGTCAGCAGGCTGCTTGTTTTTTTCTGAATCTAACAGCATGCAGAGTTACAGCTTCAGGCTTGAATACAGTAAGATTTCTATATTTAGGGAGGCATGATGGGCTCAGGGTGGCTAGATCGTGGTTTTAACTCTGACGGCTCAGGAACACGTTTGTGTTCCTGACCCTATAGTGATCCTTTAAGAATTTAAATAATAGGTCTATACTGTGACCTACTTCCAGTAGCCAGTTCTGATGGGTGACATCCTTGGAATGCAGCTGGTGGATGGAGGCATGGGTTGCTTCCAGGGGTACCACTGTTTGATCCAGATAGGTGTCCAGGTGATGGCCACTGGATTTGCAGCCAGGTACAGTTAAGTGTATTGAAGTGTTTCCCTGGTGGAGGTTCTGGTGTGTAGGAGGTTTATCTGACTCCTACTGTGTGAAAAGCACAACTGTGCTTCAGAGGATGTGCAAACTGTTAAGCTTAATGTTTCCAATTTTTAAAATGACAGTGTGTTTAAAATGCTGTTTAGCCTGTATGGCCTCAGGGTGGGTGGTAGTGTGTCGGAAGACCGGTTTTACGTGTACTTGCCGCCCCTCTCCCCTGAATTTAGACCATTTAATTTGTTTTCTTTTGTCTTTTTATTTTTTTAATTCTTTATATTTGCAGTGCTTTGCTTTAAACATGATATACAAAAGACTGTCCTATTGTAGAAGTAGCTAAGAATCAGATAGGGAAAAGACAAAGCACAATTTTTTTTTAATCAACACGGTAACACTAAACTTACCTTTATCCTATTGTTTCCTCTTTTCTCCCTTTCTCAGAACCTGTTCTTTTCTTTTTTTTCTGATCTAGTGTTCTTTAAAATACAAGACAATGTAGGGACTCTTAAGTATCGTCGGTAATCTGTCAGCCACCGTCTGGGTGAAGTCTCCCTTCGACTAGACAGTCAAAAAGCATATTCAGGCCTATGACCAGGTTTCAGTCAAAAGAAGAACCATAAACAAAATACATGTGCAGAGAAAAACAAGGTTGAGAAAGAAAACATGCACACAAGTGTACAGCCCAGAATTTGTAAGTTGATATTGAATAATTGTGGGACTGTCTGGAGTAGTGCTGTGTCCCAAAATAGTCAGGTTTCTCTATTCTGCGATCCTCCACCTCTCCGGATAAATGGAACAATGTTAGCAGAGTCCCAGGTGTTCATAGTGGCCTCAGTCCCAGAGATGGAAGTAAGATGGGTGATTCTACCACCGAAGTGAGTCTGTGGGTGGTTCCGTTGAGTTGCCATTGTGGTTCCAGGTGCTCCCCCTGTAACTCGCAATTTTGTGGTGACTGGCCCTAGATCCTTGCGACAAAGGAGGGTGGCAGTTGGCAGTGGTTAGATCCTGGAAGATTGTCAAAGATGAGCCCTCGAAAAGCAGTGGAGTTTTATCTCTTATGGCTAGCATTTTTGTCTTAAAAGGACATGCAGTGGAGCCTGTTATGTGGTAGACTCTATCAATGACCATTTTTTGGCAACAGGATTTGGTAAGATAGTCACCAGCAGCCTCTGAATGTAGTGTGATAACTCTTCGGCCGAAATTGCAGCTGGGATGCAGTGAATTCTGACATGGTTGCGACGCTGTCAATCCTCCATGGCTGTCATTTGGGTCAGGGTCGTATGAGTTTGAAGTTGTTTCACTGTCATGTAGCGCAGAGCAGTTGCTTCAAATATCCTTTTTATTTTTTTATATTCTTTATTTTTGCATTCCACAAGTTAAAGTAGAGGTGTACATCAATTTCTTCATACAGGCTTAAACAGAGTCTCTCTGGTTCTCAACTCTCATTAATGGGCATGTGGAACATTTAATGTATTTCGTTGTAGCATAATGGGCTGTATGTGTAGGCAGTAGTAGAATTATCCCTCTAGGAGGGTTGTGTGGCTTTGTGCGTGTAAACTAATAAACGAGCTCTGCTCCTCCGGAGGAGGGTACCTTTCACCCTGCTGTGCTATCATAGGTGAATGTTTTCTCATCGTGTGCCAGTTGAGAGGAGGGGGGAGCTAGATTGAGACAACTCTATATAAGCTTAAGAGTCAACCCGTAGCATAAAGCCGTCTGTAAGGGGCTTATGCATGTGTCAGGGGCAATGTGTGCAGGGCCGACTATTCCCATCAGCCTAGGTATAATGCTGGTAAATTGGGTACTGCAGAAGTAGAGCCTGTAGCTATGAACAGACTTAAAGTCCGAGCATGGTACAACTGTGCTGCCATAGATATCTAAGATTTGAGGTAACTGCAAACTGCGGGTGAGGTTTAGACAGGTAAGTCCTGGATATCCCTCAGCTTTTCAGGTCTTTTCCTTCGGGGGTGTAGGTCATCGGGATGATCGGGGAACAAACTCCGGCACTGCAGAGGGATCCAGCTGGGACAGACCCGATGCCGTCGCCTGAGGAGAGTCTGCAAGTCCTAGTTTTTGTAGGAGAGTCTGCAGCTCGGAGAAGCCACAGCCCGGGCTCGGTGTGTTGCACCCTGATGTTGGAAGAGGATCACTCTTGGGGTCCCCCACCGGTACCTGATGCCCTTGTCTCGGAGCGACAGTAGGAGTGGTCGCAGGGCCCTGCTCCATTCAGTGGTGCCTTTAGTAAGGTTCGGGAACAGTGTCAGCTCGGCTCCTTCGTGGTGTAGATGAGTTTTGTCTCGGGCAGCCGCCAGTAGGAGGGTTTTGTCCTATATGAACTGGAAGCGGACAATTAGGTCTGTGTGAGCGGTGTGCGGTGCTGTTGCTAGCTTTGGCAGTCTGAACATGCCGTCGAGCTGTATTGCCTTGGCCTGTTTAGGTGGCAGTAAGGTGCCTAGCATACGCCTGACAAAGTGAGGTAAGTCCGTCAGGCTTACTGTGTCCGGTATTCCACGGATTTTAAAGGTTATAAAGCCTCCTTTGATCTTCAAAGGTGTCAACCCTGTCGTTGGTGGCTCTTTGTTATTTCTGAATCTCAGTGATTTTACTTTCCATAGAGTCAAGTCTTTGATCTTGGTAGCTCAATGAGGCCTCCAGCAGGGTGATCCTTGACGTGACGCCATCTACAGCCTCTTTGATGCTGGCCATGTCCGCCGCTATTTGCTTCCGTAATTCGGCTAGCATGTCTTTTAGCTGGGTGGCCGTTACCGGGTCACCAGTGGTGGCTCACTGGGGCTTAGGTCTGGCAGGTAGAGCACTCATTTCCCACATTCCTGCTTCGTACGACTCATCTGCCGAGGAGTAGGAGGGCTCCTAATCCTCCATTGGCATTTTGTCACACACTGGGGCCTGCGAGTGTCGGAGCAGCTCCCCTATATCTTGACTTCGGGGGCTTTTGTCTGCTCTCAGTTTCTTATTTTCTTGGCCCATATCCTCCTCCTCTGCAAGGTGAGGGGCTGTGGATTTTGTTAGTAGCCTATTTTCCGTTCTTAAATTGCCGTTTTTCACTCATGAGGCCTAGAGCTCGAGTTGGCCCGTCTGCTCGACGTGGCGCTCCCCCAAAGATCTATTCTATCTTCTTCTGATGCTTACGTGATCGCCTGTATGTCAGTTTTGGATTTCTGCCAGCAAGACCTTTAGGTCACCTTTAGTGGTGGAAGCTGAGCTGTCAAAACACTCAGGAGGTTAAGTGTGTCCAGGCTGAGGGACTGATGTGGCGTCTGGTACACGGCTCTCCAGTGCGGTACTTGGCAGGTTAGTGCACGGGCTTTCTGTAGTTGGCAGTCTGGGCTGCGTGGGCCTTTGTAACATGGCCCCATGTCACTCCCATCAGCTGAGGTGTTTGGCCTCTGAGAGCGTCGTCCCTTGGCTGGCATGGCATTTATCATGTTGGTTGGAGCTCCTAATAAGCCCACTGATGTGGGTCTGCCAAGGAGTGCTTCTAGGCCTAGGAATGTCGGTGCGAGGTAGGCCCCAGGCTTACACATTAGCTTATGCTGTTATGGTCTGAGAAAGAAGGCCCTTTCCTACAGAATCCAGATACTATAACTTCAGAGAAGTTCCGTTATTGTCGAAAACAAGCACAAGAAAAAAAGAGCCACATAAAGATAAAATCGTTTTTGTCGGTGCGGAGCCTAGCCTTTGCAATGAATGGACGCTCCGTGCTAAACAGGGATATTTTGGCATATTGTGCCCGAGCCCGGTCTGAACGGAGACGGGTCGCAAATCCAAAAAAGCTCGACTGGGCAAACCCAGATTGGAGGGGCATTATCGGAGATCTCTTCTGACAGGCCAGAAGCGCTGCTGGGCTTCCTGGGAACTCCTTACTAGCCTACACAGACTCCTCGAAGGAACTATCCCTCGACGAGGAGGATGACTCTTTACCTCCAAGGCCAATAGCTGCCCCTGCCCCGGAGAGGACAGACTCCTCACCGGTCACAACAGCGGTGCTGAAGGTCTTGCTAGCTTAATTGCAAACCACACTACAAGTGGACGTGGCGGCAATAAGATCTGACCTCTTTGGCCTCACAGGTCGGCTCCAAGCAGTAGAACACATCTCAAGTGACCATGCTCCACGGGTCACGACCCTGGTGAGAATATCCCAGGAGAGGTGCATACCTGCTATTGAAGACGCGTGCAGAAAAAATAACCAAGATACGTGGTGTAGCAGATGACATCAAAGCCGCCGAAATTCCTCACCTCCTAAGATGGCTCTTCATAGAGTTACTCACCCCTAAGCAAGCCATGAAGATACAGCTGGAGGGCTTCTTTAGGCTCCCTAAACAGACTAGGGCACCAGCAACCGCAAAACGTGATGATGTGGTCCTGTTCAAGACCAGACCGCAATAGCCACAGCTGCTAGAGAGAGAGATCCACTCTCACCTTTAAATCAATGGAACTCACCTTTTTCGAGGACCTCTCCCCTGGCATATTGGCTTGGAGAGATCCCTTCACCCTCTCACTACGATCCTGCGGACGCACACAATCCGCTACAGATGGACTCTATCTTGCACATTCTCTGTGTCCCACGGTGACACCCAGCTACAAATCCGAGATCACGGCTGCAAAAGCCACGCTGAGAACCCTGGGCCTGCCACAGAACTCGCTTCTCAGGGCCATACCTGCTGCTCCCTCCCACAATTGGTACCCCTCCAGGATTAACCTGTTCATCCAAAGACTAGCCACTGCTGATCCATACGTCGCGGCAACGGCCTGAGTCTGGCACCCTAGAAAAGGCCTGGATGCTTTCCAACCAAAGAGGACATTGCTGTTCCTGATCTTGAAAGTACCTCCTTTTATTAAAACTTGGCTCTTTTCCACATTAATGCCCAGCTACTGAGCTCACCCCTATAATTGTTAAATGTCTAGTCTCTCACCCACTCACGTTGCCGAGCATTAATAATACACTAATGGAGAGCAAAAAATGGGTCGCAAGAGTATTCTGAGAATGGACAGCAGCTAAAATAGCCTGCCCTTCGTTGGGAACCCCGCTCAGAACTCTAGCTGGTTTTAGCTCATCTTGTGCCATTACAGAGAGAACATATCTGAAGCGTATCAGACTGGTCCCACCCATACGGGCAGTCCAGATCCGAAATGCCAGCAAGTTCTCTTTGCTCGAGAGATACTGCAACCCCAGACGATCGTTTCAGCCTTGTTAGGCATCATCACTGAGGCATAGCTGATATCTCTCTAGGCACCGTGAGCAAGGGGTCCACGTCTGGATTACCCTTTAAACTAAAGGAGAGCAAAAAATGGGTCGGAAGAGTATTCTGAGAACAGAGCTTCCATCTCCAAAATTCTGGTGCTTGCTTATAAGTCCCTACATAATGCTGCTCCAATCTACCTATCCTCCCTAATACACAAGTATATCGCGTCGAGGCCCCTACGCTCTGCCAAAGACCTACATCTATCCTCTGTCCGTACTCCCACCTCTAATGCTCGCCTCCAAGATTTCTCCAGGGCTACACCTCTTCTGTGGAACATCCTTCCCTTCTCCGTAAGACTTTCACCCAGTCTCCACTCATTCAAAAAATCATTGAAAACTCACTTCTTTAAAAAAAATAAAAACATATCAATTAACCTGTTAGCAGGTTTTTATCCCCCACCCCCATGACTCCTCTCCTGCAACTGTCAAAAATTACCTACTAAGCCCTCAATTAATACTTTTCTAACAACCAACTTTGTACCCCTGCTTTTACCATTTGTCACTATGCCCCACTCTCTCTAGAATGTAAGCTCATTGAGCAGGGCCATCCACCTCTCTGTTCCTCTACGTCCAATTGTCTGGTTAAAATTACATGTCTGTTAGTCCATCCATTGTACAGCACTGTGATGGCGCTATAAAAATAATATTGCATTTTTGTAATCTTGTATCCTATTGTAGCAATGCAATATTTTGTGGACCCAGGACATACTTGAAAACAAGAGAAATCTTAATGTATCAATCCTGGTAAAATATTTGTATATAAATAAATACAACTATTTGTAAGGAATTGCAAAAATACTAATTCTTCAGGTAACATGATTCTTTACCACACAAAGGCAGAACTTAAAGGACCACTCTAGGCACCCAGACCACTTAAGCTTAATGAAGTGGTCTGGGTGCCTGGTCCAGCTAGGGTTAACCCATTTTTTAATAAACATAGTTTCAGAGAAACTGCTATGTTTATCAATGGGTTAAGCCTTCCCCTATTTCCTCTAGCAGCTGTCTCATTGACAGCCGCTAGAGGTGCTTGCGTGATTCTCACTGTGATTTTCAGTGAGAGCACGCCAGCGTCCATGGGAAAGCATTATGAATGCTTTCCTATGCGACCGGCTGAATGCGCGCGCATTCAGCCGACGGGGAGGAGAGGAGGAGGAGAGCTCTCCGCCCAGCGCTGGAAAAGGGTACGTTTTTACCCCTTTCCCCCTTCCAGAGCCGGGCGGGAGGGGGACCCTGAGGGTGGGGGCACCCTCAGGGCACTATAGTGCCAGGAATACGAGTATGTTTTCCTGGCACTATAGTGGTGCTTTAATAAAGGAATATTTATTATGAGCAAAAAATAGTCACAGTGCTTACAAAAATATAGATGACAACAGATAAAAAAACAAAAGGGATAACATAACCGAAGTCCTTAACACTTACTCGCTTAGGTATTCAAAGTAGAACTTCTTTCTAAGGGGTCTCCGGCAAGGAAGATGGTGACTTAGTCAAAATTAGATTTTTGACCTCAAGCAAGTACAATGCACACTTAAAGGGACACTATAGTCACCAGAACTACAGCTTATTGAATTTGTTCTGGTGAGTAGAATTAATACCTTCAGGCCTTTTGCTGTAAATACTGTCTTTTCAGAGAAAATACAGTGTTTACATTACAGCCTAGTGATAACTTCACTGGCCACGCCTCAGATGGCTGTTAGAGATCGATCCTTGGTCATGGCTGCCTAAAATGCTTCCACACATTCAGTATCTCCTCCCTCTGCATGCAGACACTGAACTCATTAAATTCATTGATTCAATTCATCTCTATGAAGAGATGCTGATTGGCCAGGGCTGTGTTTGAATCATGCTGGCTCTGCCCCTGATCTGCCTTTTTGTCAGTCTCAGCCAGTCGTATGGGGAAGCACTGTGATTGGATCAGGCTACCACTTCTGATGATGTCAGCAGACTGCTTTTTTTTCTAAGTCAAACCGCATGCAGAGTTACAGCTTCAGGCTTGAATACAGCAAGATTTTGATATATTTATGGAGGCATGAGGGGCCCTGGGGGGCTAGATGGTGGTTTTAACTCTATAGGGCAGTGATGGCGAACCTATGGCACTCATGCCACAGATGGCACGCTGGGCCCTCTCTGTGGGCACGTGGCCATAGGTTCACCATCAATGCAGAGTAGGCGCCTGCCTGCCCAAAACGGCAGGCGACCTACTCTGCTTCCGTGTCGGGAGGCAGGGGGAGATCTGTAAAGCAGCTCCCTTGTCCTCCCGCGAGCAATCTGTGTGGTGTGTTGCCACGCGTTACCCTGGCAACGCTCCACACAGCATTGCGTGGGAGGACAGGGGAGCAGCTCCCTACAATCCTTACCACCACCGGACCACCAGGGATGGCTGTGTGTGTGTCCCCCCCTCCTTCATTAAGGGTAAGAAGGAAGGAGGGATGGGGGGATACTGAATTAGCATATTTTTTTAACACTTTTACCACCCCTACCTCACCCCCACACACAGTACCCCTACCCACACACAGCACCCTACCCCCCATACACACAGCACCCCTACCCCTCCCCCCACCCCACAACACACAGCACCCTTACCCCCACGAGACACAGCACCTAATTTTATCTATTTATATCATTATTTAAAATTTGTATCATTAAACTCTGTTGTGTTCTTCTTTTAAAACAAAAGTTGTTAATTAGCTTGGACAACTGTACGAGTTGTTTTTTCGAAACTTAAACCTCAGTATTCACGTTTAATTGTCATGTTGGCACTTTGAGGGGGAAAAAAAAGTTGGCATGTATTGCGGTTTGGGTACTGGGGCTCAAAAAGGTTTGCCATCACTGCTATAGGGTCAGGAATACATGTTTGTGTTCCTGACCCTATAGCGATCCTTTAAGTATCATTAGAGATATAACCTGTGAATTACCACACCTCACCCAGAGGGGGAGTTTAGGCATATCTACAGAGACACTAAGTGATCACCACCTTGTGTCCAGACCCACATCAATCCAAATGGAAACCTTTGGTTCTATCTTCTCTTATGGATCTGCCACAGAAATAATAATGGCATCTTTATTTTTCCATTCCATGGATATGTCACGCGACCCAATATAGCGGACATCACAATCCAAATCCAAACATGTTTGGGCTTGTTTAGAAGATGGCGCTTGTCACATTCTAAATATAACACAATGAGGATTAATTATTATTCTGTGGGTAAATATTAATATTTTTTTCTTTTGGATATGATACTGGAACAAGGCTAATGGCCATTAACATAGAGATTGACTCCTCAATTAAGAAGTACAGGCCATAAGAAAAAGGGAAAAAATAGGCACTCTTGATGGAAACTCTCTAATGCATCTTTTCAAAGGAGTAATAAAAAAAAAAAAAAAGTTCCCCCAAAATATGAATTTTGGGGAATTTATTTTGAACTATCCCTAGTTTAAAATCCCCATGACTCTTTCAGAACAGCCTTAGACTTAAATCAAATGTGTGAAATACCAGAGAATCTCCATGGAGACAATTTTATCAGCTACACACTTCTTGCAAAAATGAGAGTTCATGGGTTTAAAAGATGTATATTTACACATCCAGATAGATATAAGATCAAGAAAGGTCATGAAATCTGCTGTAAGTGGACAAAAAAGTAAAATCATGCATTTCCAATCCAAAGCAATGCCATTTGGTCTTGCTTCCAGACCATAATTAATTACCAATTGCCTTTGTAAGAGGAAAATTCATTTGTGGATTCTTACTTAGATGTCTAGTTTCTGAATGCAAATTGTATCCCAGAACTAAAAATAAACATGGTTTTCCATAAAGTACCTCCAACAGCATGGTTGGTTGAACTGGAAAATGTCAATCTTGACTCCAGTCACAAGTATTTCTTTTCTGGGATTCATTTTAGAAAGATTCTAAAACTCCTTGAATCTATCGCAGACAAAAAGGAAGCAAATGCCGTGTTTACGTTACAGCCTAGTGATAACTCCATTGGCCACTCCTCAGATGGCTGCTAGAGGTGCTACCTGGGGCAGTGTTGCACAATGAGCAGCACTGCCATTCAGTGTCTCGAATCTCTGCATGCAGACACTGAACTTTTCTCATAGAGATGCATTGATTCCGTGTATCTTTATGAGGTGCTGATTGGCCAGGGCTGTGTTTGACTTGTACTGGCTCTGCCCCTGATCTGCATCCTATGGGGAAGCATTGTGATTGGCTCAGACCACCACTTTTGATGTCAGCAGACAGCAGGCAGGTTAGAGACAGACAGGTGCAGAGCCAGCAGCTGTAGACTTGAATACAAGTACGATTTTACTATATTTAGGGAGGAAAGAGGGGGTCAGGAGGACTAGATGGTAGTTTTAGGGAGAATTTCTTTTTTTCTTAAAATACAGAAAGGAAAGTAGGGACTAATTTTCCTTATGTATAGCAGTCTAGTTGAAAAAATTGACAATAGGCAGAGCTTAAAGCAAGGTTCTGTTTCAGTTGCCAATCAAATTTATCCAGAGTTCAATATTAAACGACCACTATAGGCACCCAGACCACTTCAGCTCAATGAAGTAGTCTGGGTGCCAGGTCCCCCTAGTTTTAACGCTGCAGCTGTAAGTATAGCAGTTTGAGAGAAACTGCTATGTTTACATTGAGGGTTAATCCAGCCTCTATTGGCTGTCTCCCAAAAATCGCACTGAGGACACGCTGACGTCCATAGGAAAGCATTGAGTAATGCTTTCCTATGGGCGGTTTGAATGCCTGTGCATGCGCATTTGAAGTGCACATCTGCAGGGGGAGGAGAGGTCACCAGCGCAGAGGGAGCCCGGCGCTGGATCAAGGTAAGTGGCTGAAGGGGTTTTAACCCCTATAGCCCAGCTGGAGGGGGGAGACCTAATAACCCTATAGTGCCACAGAAGGGCAAACTGTAGACCTCATGGGCAAAGGAGAGCAAAATGGCTGCACACAGATATTGAAATCCTTCACAAGAAAAGCCAATTATAAATAAAGGTGATGGGGAGTATAAAGGAATGCCATAGCAAACATGTATTGTGAATGTTATTGTGTCCTAGGACATATGTTTTTCCCAAGGAAAAAATGCAGCAGTAAATACTGAATTGTTAAATTCCATTGGAGTGTTAATTACGGAATGTGACCGCATGAAACAGTTTTTATATTCCTATGTCCTGTGTTGAACGATCACCATGGGCGCGTTCTTTTTATTGTACAGTATGTTTCATGAGTTTGCAATCTCACAAGTGTAGCTAATGTAAAGCCTGGGATATATTGCTAATGCAACAGCTGCAAATGGGAACTTTCATTATTATTTTGCGTTCAATGTTTTTGCACATTTTTAAATCCATTCTCTATGGACTGCATTAAGATAAAGGTTAATTCCAGTCCAGAGTGTGTGAACATTACTTTTCATCTTTCAGGTTGTAGCACTTGGATTAGTTAGGGTTTTTCTTTATTTTTATTTTTTTTATTTTTTATTTTTAAACTGTGTATTAAAAATTTATTATAACTGTGTTTAAAAGTGAAGTAAGATTGACTTTCTTTTGTATCCATCCTGTAGGGTAAAGTATTTGGAACAGCACTCCATGCATTGCCACAGATACATGTTCAGGATTATGGAACCATTCCCAAGTGAGTATTAACACCTTTATCTGTGTCTAAGTCATTTAATAATGGAGGTAAAGGAATGATTGGTAACCAGCTTGGTGTAGTGGCCTCACTGATTCATACCTGGATGAATAGCTATTCTGAGACTGTAATAAAAACCTGTTTTTGAGCCTCACACTATTGTCTATGTAACGGAAATTCCAGAAGTCAGGTTTCTAAATATCCTCTTCTTGCTCCTTGCCTTGTGGTATGATTTGATTCAGACCTCATTTGCAGTAGTTCGTTATGTTCATTTTAAGTATGAAGAACCATTTGTTTAATCATATTCTGGCAACCGTTCTAAAAGGGCAGAAACATTATTCTACTGTTAAATATACTGCTTGCATCATCCTTGACGGTCCACTGGACACAGCCTGAAGGTGGAGAAATAGGTTGAGTGTTGATTAAGAACACATAATGCACAACAAGTTGCCAACATCACTGTAAAATTTGTTTTATAATGAGACTTAACTGTTACTTCAATGGTCCCCCCTTTTCAGTTTCCTTGTTGATGTTTGTAATTACCTTGAACTTCATGCACATACGGAGGGTCTTTTCAGAAAATCTGGATCGGTTATGCGACAGAAACTGTTAAAGGTAAGCAATTTAGTATGTGTGTGTGTGTGTATATGTGTATATGTGTATATATATATATATATATTCATTTTTATTTTATTGTTTTGAGAAAAGATAACATACAATGTGAAATGATAGCAGATTTACTGATTGTGACATGTATATAATGTACAGGTATTTGTTAACCAGATAACTGTGATCACAGTAATATAGATGTAACAATCCTTTCTGCGCCCCTGATTGGCCGCTTTAATGCAGAAGAGTTTACTTATTTATTTTAATTCTCCCTCATTCATATTTACATGCAAACCCCCAAAATAATATTGTCTGAAAAAAATATAAAGCTCAACAGGTTCCTTCTTCCTTTCTATGGAAATCTGAACAGAATAGATAGACCCATTGTATAAATGCTTGTTTAATACTGATTTGTCACACTTATTTTATTATTTTCCCTGATAATTTTCATAAAACGTGACACTGTCCTAATGTCTGTCGGGGGAGGGGCTACCATTATGCTGATTTGGAATTCTTTGTTCATGTCCTCAGGCTAAACTCGATAGTGGTGGTAACGGTTTGTCTGATGCTCCTCCTTGTGATGTTGCTGGCATCCTCAAGCAGTTCTTTAGAGAATTACCAGAGCCAATACTTCCTGCAGAACTTCAGGACAGTTTGTTTAAAGCCCAGAATTTAGCTAACAATGAGGATCGGGTTTCTGCAACACTTCTCATCTCGTGTCTCATACCTGAACGGTTTATCCATATCCTGCGTTACATTTTTTACTTTCTGCATACTGTGTCAAAGAGGTGAGTATGAAATTGTGTTATTGCTGGTTGGTAGATAAAATCAGTCTCGTACGTATATATGGAAACCTTGAATTTGTGTTGACACTGAGTAATGTTGCCCATACCATTTTAGATCAGCCAAGGCCTAATGTGCCTTAACCAAGAAAGGGTAGCTAACATATGACTTCGGAAAGTTAATGTCGTATCAAAGTAACTTTAGAATCTGCACATGCTGGTTTTTTTTGTTTTGTTTTTTCAATAGAAAGAAAAATGAAAAACGATAAGCACTAGAGTATCATGGTGCAAGTTAGGTTATACATCGGGATATGACTTCACTGTGCATTATGCACCATTAACAGCACCGTGATTTGGACAATTAATAATTGTAGAGAGTAACAGGTAGCTTAGTTACGTTGAAAGTTAGATCATGCACTTATGTATGTAATATTAAACTAGGGGTTTAGTAATGCTGAGCAGTACACCTAATATAAAACTGACTAGCTCTTAATCAGACACATAGTTCAAGAGGGGGTCCGGCCTCTCTAACATAGGATGACTGGTTGGTCAATATTGGTGATTTAAGGCTTATAGTGAGATGGCCTGTTGGGATCAAAAGGAATTACTGATAAGAATTAAAAGTAGCGTAAATGAAGTGTTGCTTTTAATCTGTTGGCATGTGTAGCGGCATATTATGTGTGATCGTTTGGGGTCTGCAAAGCTTACCCCTCATGTTTTTTTTTTTTTGTAACCTAGGTTGGGTTGGACAGGAGGCCGAGGTCTTATGATCAAATGAACGCTGAGGACAAACAGCCTGCTTTGGGCTTAATTGTAGGCCTCGTCCACAATGTCGGGAGAGCTATTTGAGTTGTCGCCTGTGCTTGTGGTGCCCTATTATCTGCTTAAAGATAGCTTAATAACACCTGGAGTATAAAAAGCTAAAAAAAAAAACTATAAAATAAATCAATAAGATAAAACAAGACAAGCTGTCATCATTCAAAACCTAAAAAAAAAAAATAGTCAATAGTAGTGATACAGAATCTGTATCATTGAGGAAGAACGACCTGTTGCAGCAGGCTCTCGGAAGTGCTTCAAGTGGTGACTGCTGCGTAGGCTTCCTTCGCGGGCCCCTGGGGGACAAATGGAGTTGCGGTAGCTGGGTTCCAGACGTGAGTTGATGCTGTCAACCCGGTGGTAGCTAGAGGGTTTTGTGGAAGCCTTAAAGTAGGTTGTAGCTCTTTTGCACCCTGTAGATCTTAGATAGGATACGTGGTCTCACCATGTACCTGTAGTGTGCGGGGTTTTCTCCATCAATATTTGATGTTGGTCACTCGTAACCAGGGATGTGAAGGGCTGGAGTGAACGGCGCAATGACTGGGTGCTTTCTGATAGGTCCGTTTAGAATGAAAGTGATATGCCCTCAAATGAGTATGATGAATGGTTGCGTACTGTGTTTAAGACCACTGTTCTGTCCTTGCCCTTCTGGAATCAGATCAGCATCTTGTGTCGAGGATGGAGCTTTGACCGGTTTCATTAAACAAAACATCCCTTCTGTTTCCATCAATTTCGCTTGCTTAGGTGGTAGGAGTGTCAGTAGCCTTCGCACCAAGTGCGGGAGCTCTGCGTCTGGTGTTTCCTCAGGTATCACCCTGACCTTGAGGTTTAGGCTTCTCTTCTGGTCTTAGATTGCCGCAAACCTCAGTTCTGTTTTGGCTTGTTGCGGTTTCATCTTGTGTGCTGCTTGCTGCAGACCTGCTGTTTGGTGGGTATATGTTCCAGCATGCCCATGTCTTGGCCTATTGGGCCACATCAGCTTAGATAAAGGCCTGCCAGCAGTTCTTTTAGGACTGCCGTTGTGACTGGGGCCGAGCCTGGTGGCAAGGGGGCCGATTGTGCAGGTATGTGTTCCTCTGCTGCCCCAACGGAGAAATCTTCTGAAATATCAGAGGCATTATCAGCAAAGACCATCTTGGGATCCATGGCACTATGAGCCTGTTGCCAGAGGTCCCCTATATTCATGCTTATTCTCGGATTGTCTGGCTTTGGTTTTTTTTGGTATTTCAGCCCATTGTGTTGTTGCCAGGGTTCCGTTTGGGGCTCCTGTAGGAAGGGTTTTAGCCTTGTAATTGGAATTAAATTGGCTTTTCAGTGCAGAGCAATTCCAACATGTGTTAATTCAGTTCAGCTGCTTGGCTTCACCCCTATGTTAAGCTGTTTTGGGGGACTCAAAGCACCGTTATTCAAACTGCAGTTTCATAGATCTTCACAAACCATTTACTCATCTGAGTATGTCTGCTGAATCATTCCTTTATGTCCTCATACTATAGCATGCGTTGAAATTCATTAAGCAATTGACACATGTTTAGGTGCTATGTGCACACACACACTTTTTTTTTTTATTATTATTATTATTCATGCGTATATTTTCTTTTCACTTTTTCTTACAAAGATCTGATGCAAACAAAATGGATAGCAGTAACTTGGCAGTAGTATTTGCTCCTAACCTCCTGCAATCAAATGATGACAATGAGAAGATCTCATCCAGCACAGAAAAGAAACTCCGTGTACAAACTGAAGTAGTGCGAACTTTGATAGATCACGCAACAAATATCGGTAAGTCTGAGTGTATGGTTCATATATTGCAGTAAATAATTAGTCTGCATAGTGTCCTGTTGAGCCCCCAACTAGATTCTCTACCAGAATAAAAAAAATACAGATTTGTCACCAAGGGTCAACCCAGCCACTCTTAAGGTCAATCTATCTTCCCTGCTTTGTTTGATTAGCCTGTCTCCTAATCCTAGGATCAGATAGCTTATGGCCACGACTCCCAAAGATAAGGCATGAATACATATTTTTTACCAGAGATTTAAAAAAACAAACAAAAAAAAACCTTTATTATCTCAGTAGCATATGTTCCAGCACAATAAACTTTATATATATTTTTTTTGCCTTTTTTTTTTTTCACTTGTAATTGAGTGCAAGGGTGATCCACTTCTTCATTGTCAGGCCTCCTACCTAAATAGGATAATCCATATTTCTTATATTTTATATTGGCATGAGATAACCGAGAAATCTTATTTATTTTTTTCTGACAGGGTGTGTACCTCATTTTCTGCTTGAAAAGATCCCAGGAATGCTTGGTGTTGATGGAGGTACAGATACACCTGGGCGAGAAGCGTCCGAGGGTTGTGATGTAGACCCTCTTCAGGAGAAGAAGAGGAGGAGAAGGAGCGTTGGAGGTGATTCTAATATACTGTACAAATCTCAAGCCATTTACTTTGGGTCTTTCATTTCTGGTGGTGTGATCTTTGCGTGTTAATAAAATGTATATGTTATATTGTCCACTAAGATAATGTAGGGAGGGCATTTAGATACATGGAAAATAGCTGTACTAAAGGTTATGAAATCTCTAACCTAGGGCAATGCGACATTTGGTCAGATTGATTCTAGGCTGACGTGTTGTGTGAAAGGAAACCACTATTCATCTAGCTACAGATTAATATGCGTAACAGTGGGCTCCATCTAGCCTGCTGATTTTGTTGCCATGTGCATCGCCAATACATCCCAGTTGTTTTGGCGATGCATTAAAGTGAATGTGTGCCATTCCTAGTCACCAAAGCCTTTTTGTTTTCTCGTGTCCTCATGGTGCTGAGTTTGTCTTACATTTCAGATTATGTTAGTGGAGCATTGAATAAGCTTATAACTAACAGAACACCTTCCTCTACACCTCAATCAGAGAGGCCGGGTAGGTATATATTGCCTTGTTCCGTAGCTGCATCTGGCCTGCACGTAGCATTTGCTTTATCTGTCACACTTAGTACATGAAGAAAGAAATTCTGCTCGTATATCCCTTGGCCTGCATGACCCTCGCAGGAATGGCTACTCAAAGCTATATACCATATTCAATTTGTTACATTATTTATTTTAGAACCAGTTCTTCAGAAAGCTTAATTTATAGATCTCAACTTTTTATTTATTTTGTTCGCACCCAGCATTAAAAATAGCAAAATTAAAATGTTAAAATACTAATTTTTAGTATCTTTGTAACATCTCATGTCGTCCATTCTTTTCTTGCTGCGTAGACTATGCTTTTTAACATCGATAACGCTGTTGCTGATTAATTGTATATTTTGCTTATTGGTGTTCTTTCTAGACAAATTAGTTTTTATTTATTTCAGCCTTGGGATCCATGGTGACTCCATTAATTCTTACTCCAAGCGTCAAAAGGAAACTCCCCACAGATTCTGCACAGGGATTTTCAACAAAGAAAAGAAAATCCATAAAAAATAGCTTGGGATTTGAGTTGTTGCCGAACAGTCTCTTTGGAAGCGGATCTACACCTGCCTCAGGTAAATCTATTCTAGTTACCTTTTAATGGGAATGGACAGATGTATTTTAAGGTGACTTATTTTTTAGCCCTTTTATAATGCTATCTCTTATATTTTTTATTTTTACTGACATCATATACATATATTTTTTTCTTAGCGTGCTTTGAAAGTCCACACACTTCTTTTGAGGCCTCACACAACTCATTGTCGCCATTGGTCACTACTGGCAAACACCTCTCCAATTCATCTATGCTAAGGCGAAGCAAGAGGTGTGAAAACCGTAAAGTACAAAGGTGCAACTGTGGGAGTTTTGTTTTTGTGTGGGGGCGGAGGGTTTCCTTTTTCCCTTTTATTTGCCCATTTCTTGATAATGCATTTCATTGGTTTGACCGTGTATAAATATTTACATTTTCTTAATTTTTCTAAAAGGGTGGATTCAGGGAAAACTGGTTGCTTTTCCCCCAAAATAAGCCGGAAAGAAATGGTACGCAGATCACTTCGACTTAGATTCAGTTTGGGGAAAAGTTCCAAAGATGTGGTAAGTGCTTTAAGACTTATAACAATACCATTCCTTCTTGGAATATGGATTATATCTTCAAAAACTTCTGGGCTCACTTTCCTGCTTCTTTGTGTTCTGGGGCCTAATGGTAATTTTAAAGGAACACTCTGGCACCATAACAACCTCTTCTCAGTGATGATATAATGCTTGCTTCTCACGTGTGGTGTCTTATCTTAAAGGAACACACTATTTAAAAAAAGAATTTATAACAATTTAGTAGACATACCCTAAATAAATCATTCTGGTCTTTTTATTTTTTTTGTTTTCTTGAAGTATATGAAAAATACAGTTTGTAAAAGAACACCTCCAGCTCCCATTTCCCCAGTCTATGCTAAGTTATTCACATTCGTGATTGTGGCTTTACTAATGTTGAGTGACAGCCAGGGGGTTGTTTCTGCCACTGAATATCAAAGTGTAAATTTTGTTTGAAATCAGCACTTTTATAAGCAGTCACAAGTGGGACAAACTACAGCCACACAAAGCAATTCAGCAAGCTCTGAAGTGCTATATGAACCTTTAGTGTTCCATTAAAGGAATAAACCATTTACGAACTGTTTAACCTCACAGTTGTGTACAGCACGTCTGCTCTGCCCCTCTTTGTTCACCTCACCCCTCTGCTTTATTGCGAAAGCCTCGGACTGGGGATTGATAAACTGCAGAAATTGTTTTTTGGTGGGTTTTTTTAACATTATCCCCACGCTGTTCACTTTTTTTATGTATGGTTTTTGTGTGGTTAGAAAAAAAAACCAAAAGCTACACTTTGTATCCACACTTTATTTATAGCGCCAGTTTTTATTACACAATTTTTTTTTTCTTGTTGAGCCTTGATAAATGCTAAACCATTATTGCACTCCCATAAAGCTATTATTGGGTGTTTTTGTTCCTGCCCTCTACATGCCAAGCAAAGTGTGTCACAAAACATTGACTTCTAGGCTGTCATAGGTTAAAGCACTCCTCATAAGGTGTTCTTATTAATATATCCACGTTAAAATTGGAATTTACATCTGCTAGTAAAAACTAAGTCTATTTTGGTTCATATATATCTGTGGCTGCAGGTATAGTGTAATGTTTATATTGCAGGGTTTAGTCCACCTCTAGTGGCAGTCAATAGGATCTTTCTAGATACCCATCCGCCCCCTATGAGGGAAGATCAAAAACGGAGTTCTTTCTAAGTGCTCTCTTTATAGTGTGGAAGAATGACATGCCTTTAAACACCTTATGTATTGAAATTTGTGAGTAGCTGTTCACAGAAAGGCAAATACTCATTTGTGTGTACTGCCATTTTATGCAAGAAAGTAATTTTGTTTTCTCTCTCTCTCAGAGCACGAGTGGGACATCTTCTAACTTGAAATCTCAAAATATCGGTTGGCGACTTGCAAATTCACAAGAGTTGACCCCAGTGACATCAAGTCATAGAGTGGAAACTCTTTCCTTCCCCATCGAGAGTCCATTTGTAAGTGCAGGTAAGTGTCTGGCCACTTACCCAGCTAGTCAGTTTACTTCTGGTTTGTTAAGGAAATTAAATATTTATCTGTGATTATGGATGACACTATCAAGGTGGGACATAACTGTTTCTCAGGTTTCTGTCCTAAAGAAGACATGTTGTAGAGTTAACTGGTAACTTTAAGCTGCTAGATATTCCCATAAGCAAACTAGTCCATGTATCTCTTCGGGCATTTTGCAATGTTGATTGCCTTTCTGTGCTATATTTTAGGAATTAGCCATGGGAAAGTGTGTGGACTAATAGTTTCAGTGGTAAAGGGAAGTGCAACATGCTCCTTTTTCTTGAGTGCATTACATGTCTTTTAATACATAAGCTTCTAATGATATGTAAAAGTCCAGTACAGGCAAGTCTTTTTGATAGTACTTGTTTTGTCACTATATTGTCCCATACTCATCCACATAATCTCTTTAACTGCATCTTTATAGGTACAAAGTTAATAAGCAAGTCTGAAGACAACCTACTATCCCCAAAGCCGTCTGATGAGTCAAGTCATCGCAAGTCTTGGACAGGGCCACAGCCATTCAAGTTAGACGGCATTTGTGATGAGAACACACCTGTTGCTGCACAACTTTGGGCTACACATTGCTACTCTGAGCCTGTCCTTGTCTCTGGAAAACCTCCATCTATGCCAAAGCTTCCCGGATCCCTCAATGAAGTGTACAGGCAAGACCAAAATAAAAACAATGATTCACTGTGTGAGGAAGAGGTGAACTTGGCAGACAACACTGCCATGAGGATCTCAAAGGCCTTTACTCAATCTGGAACTGATCTTCATAGGGTAATGACAGGCGACAGTCTTGCACTAGGTAACGTTTCAAACTTGGAAAGTGAAGTTGATTTTCAAAATAAAAGTTTAGAAAGTGGAAAAAGTGCCAGTGTGTTTGACAGTGAAAGTGTATCCGAAGAGGGTATAACTCAAGGAGAAGTTAAAGATAAATTGAGGACAGATGCAGTAACAAGTCCAGCTGGATGCTGTGAAAACAGTTTGATTAAAGAACCTCTTGCTATTTCTATAACAGAACCGCACAATACAGCTGTGGATACAAGCTTCACAGAACTGAGCCAATGCCAACAATCGTGCATCAAGGAAGTTGTTCTCTTAAACAGTCCCGAACTGTTCAGTAAAACCATTTCTTCCACTGCTCAAGTCAATGCTGTTCAAATGCAGGTAGATCGGGCTCTTGTATCTCATCAAAAGGATCTATTTCCTCCTTCAGATGTTGAGACTTCAGTAAACACCACTCAAGACTGTCATATAGCAACTTCAAAACGTAATTCAAACAGGGTTTCTGATCAAATACAACTCTTCAATAGCCTCTGCCTCAGTGACAGCAGCTCTGTGCAGAAACTCAAGTCCCCCATCAAATTCCAACGTACCCCTGTGCGCCAATCTGTCCGGAGAATAAACTCATTGTCGGAGGTGGTGAAACCAGTAAATGTTAGCAGCAGAAAGCAAAGTACAGCTAGCTTACCTATGATGAAATCGGTTAGTTCTGATAGTTCTCTCTCTTCAGAACTTCCCTACATACATTCGAATCGCTCATCACCCACTACGAATGTTAATGAAGCTTCTGTCCCCCACAAGACCCTAAATCCTGCAACCCATCTGGTAGTAAGTTCCAAGTTATCTAATCAATTGCTGAAGCATATTGGACGCTCTGTGACAAATACGACTAGTCCATCAAAATCAGTGTTTGAAGACCTAACAAATCAGGACATACCCAAAACTTCCTACAAGAGATCTGACCTGTCTCTAAAATTACCAGATAAATATGCTGCGCGCATTGTATCAGGAAGAGAGCGCCATCGTTACAAGGGCTCTCCAAGGAATCCGATTGGGAGATTAAATTTCCTGCCTTCCTCTAAACCTTTGGATTTATGAAAAGGCTTCTTCTACTGTAACTCACTGTTTTTATTTTATTTTAAAGCAACCGCATTAAAAAAAAATACAAATTCAGTTTACATGCATGGTATATGCAGACAAATGTCTTAAATCATAAAAAAAAAAAAAGCTCCGTCTTTTTATGTGCAGCTGTACGTCTTGAAGCACCTTGTAAATGTTGGTACAAACTGTTCTTGAATAGATTTTGACTGAAAACTCAGGAACTAGTAATTAAGCAGTTTATATCTCGCTTTGCCTTATTTTTTATTTTTTGCTCTTAATAATTCAGGGCTTTTAGACAATGGAACAAACATTGGTCTGAAATTTCAGTGACTCTAGAGTACCCTGGATGATAAGCGATTAATGTGTGACCGAAACATCTTCTGTTTTTGAGGATCCTTGAATAAACTTGGAGCTTTACTCTAGGAATATGAGACTTGTATAATAGATATTTTTTACACGTCTCTTTCTGTCTCCCATTAACAATTATTTAAACTGGAATTTTTTAGGGCTTTTTTCCCCCCTCTAACCCTTTGTAATATCTGATTTTCCTCAAACATTGAGTGCATGTTGGCTACCAGAGCATAGCAAAAGCAGGTATTGCTGTATTTTTCTTTAAATCTAGCTTGGGTGAAACACATGTGTATGTTTTAAAATATGCCATTGTCTCTGGTATTTACCTTTCAGTTGTTCAGCTGTAGGTGTTTACAGTTTAGGTGCAGGATTTGTCTGATTTTAACTTAAAATTATTTAAACAATGCGGGTGCGAAGTGAAGATTGATTCTGGGTAATTGGAGCATGCATTGTGTAATTCATAGAGTATTTATTTTGTGCATGCAGTATGTATGTAACGCTTGTGTTCACTACAGATACTTGATTACAATAATCCCTCTGACCAAAGCAACCATGAATAATTCAGCCTTCGAAAGTAACAGATGGTTTAAGTAAAGTGGTTGTTGAGTTATTGCTATGACATGGTAACTTAAGTCTTTTTTTTTTTTTTGGCTTAACCTCTTAATCCGCCTGTAGTGGTTATGGTACAGGGCATACCTTGTCACTGTGCGACAGGAAAGATTCACACCTGCTTAAACAGTTTGACACTTACCTGGGTCTCCCTGAAGCATGCAGTAACTTTAGCAATATCATTTTTGTGTAACTTTTGAAATTATTCATTGTCTGAGCGTGTCAGCGGACAATCCATGAATTATATGAAAAGCTGCATAAAACGACTACTAATGCAGAATAGTAACTTCCATTTTTGCAACAGTGGGCTGTAGTAGCTGTGGTTCCCTGTTGTCATTTCCAGGTATGTTGAATTGTTTAGAAGCAGTTTGATATATATACCAGGGCACTTCTTGGCATCCAGGGCCAGCCCCTATATAAGCTCCATTTGTAATACATATCTTCATTATCAAAGTCTATTTCATCCAGTCTGGACAGTATTGGCTGGGCACTAACCTGTTAACGGAACCTTTTTTGTTGTCCAGGCTGAACAAAATTGATATTGGTAATGCAGAATTGTTAAATGCATATTATCAAAGTAGCTGAGATGGGGAGCTGCCTGAATGTAGAGGAACCCTGACTTATATTAAACCATTCCCAAGTCATTTGATATTAAACCCAGGGAAGATGCTAGGGCACTCAAATCAATAACTGCCACAGCTTGCCGTTTTTATATTTATTGAACTTGGCTATGTGAATCAAACGTCACTCATAGAATGCATTATACTAGGACTTGCAAAACAAAGGAAGCCGGGGAGCTAAATAAAAACTATACTGATAGTTTAATATTTAAGACATTTCTTTATTTTATATTTTAATAAATGTGCCTCTTATTTTTATTTTATATTGTGTGTGTGTATATATAACACATGACAGCCCATTAATCTCTAAATTCTGCAAATGTTTATCAGCCCCTTGTTTGACATTGTATTTATGGACTTATTTACTAAACAGTGATTTGTCAAACATTTAATGCCAGTACAGCAGATTTGAAAGGTTTCAAATTAGGTTTTTGGGTTTTTGTTTTTGTTTGTAACTTGCTACTTTTAGCAATTTATTAGTAGCACTATGTCAAAAATACCTTCAAATCTGATTAAATCCCAGCGCAATTTATTTACAAATTAAGGATTTATTTTTTTTCCCTTTAATAATGAGTCCTTTCACAGCCCTTGATCCCTAATCCCCAGGAAACGGACTGGCGCCCTGAAAAGGTTAGGGATGGAATTAACAATCTGTGCCCCATATTAACTGAGATTTAATTTGCAGAAATCAAGCAGGTGGCTGGCACCAGGTAGATACTTATATTTTAGATTGCTGTTATTTACTGCAGGTTTACTGATTAACTCGTGAAATTAATCTGTAGTATCTCTCCCGAATACTGTAGACCTTGTCGAATTGTTTTTTATGCAAGATCCACAATTTTCTTGCTGCATAATTGTATAAAAATTGTGTTCTTAAGATGTCGGTTGTATGACTAGAAATGGGCATCACTCTGGGTTGGATATGATCCTTCGCAATTGCATTGCTTTATTATCTAGCCAATGATCAAAAAAAAAATCTGATAACATCCTCCTAGCTTGCTCCCTGAATACAGTAATGGGCAATGTCTAAAGCAGAGACTGCATGCTACCCGCTAGATGCCAGGGAGAGAACCATTTAATCCTTCCCATCTCTTCTGTTTGTGCCTGGAGGAGAGGAAGAATTAAACTGGCAGTTGTCTTTGTATGTAGATATATAAATGTGTAATTCCTTGTACAGGCAGAGATATGCAAGATTTTCTTTCTATGTAGATATCTATAGATGAGTGGCTAATTATGCTTATATCTCTTTATATATTTATATTTCTGTTTTACGAACGAAATCCACTGAGATTCAAGCATCATTTTTGGAAAGCTGACTGGTGGATCACAAACTCTCAAAAAATATCCTGTGCACTCTCTTAATGTAATAGCTGTGAGCTGTAATTCTGTATTGTAAAGGGGCAACTGTGCAAGTATTTTTGGGAGAGGGGAGGATGGTTTTATAGATCATAACTTGAGTTTCCGTTAATGCATGCTACATTTTAATTAGTTCAGAAAATTTGTGGCAACTTCCTACAGATCTGCTAGTCATAGTCCCATTAAAACACGGCAATTGATTTTCATATATTTGGCAAATGTTCTCAAAAGAAAGTGTCAAAGCTTAATTTTTAACACACAGGTGCTGTACGGGAGTTAGACTGGTCAATATTTTAAGCAGTCTGGCATTGTCAGAATTGCACTTTGCCCTTGAGAATAGTAAAATGACTAGAGCTAGCCATAAATCATATGCTTAGCTACACATATTGTACTTCAATGGGCTACATTGACCTAGTTTAACTATATTAGACTGAATTGTAGAGAATTGATAAGATCTCACAAAATAGCCAAAGTGGGGAAATAAATACCCAGCTCATTAGCGTTTTTTGGCCTACAATTTGCTATTCCATTGACATTACCCACCTATTCCCACATTTGTGAATGATTTCTGGGCCTCATTTTTATACACTGATGCCTATAAATGAAAGAACGATTTAATTTCTATTTTAGATCAATACTTCTTTTTGGGTTTGAAAGATGTTTTCTTTGCAAATGTTAATCTACGTAAAGGTATTCCAGCTGCAACAGCGATTTTCTGAAGTGTTTTAATAAACAATCACTGCTGTTATGTATGTCCTTTTATGTTGGGGTGACTTTTTATTGATTTCATGTTTTCATTTGAGGCTGGAGATAAAGAATAAATGTCCTAAACTCAGGTGTGTTTTGTTTTTTTTGTTTTTTTACGACTCTTCATTCTGTCGCTCTATTAACCCCTTCAATCCCACAAACATGACAATACTGATACAAACAGGGCGAAGGAGGTTGGGGGTCCGGCAGAGCAGCTTACTTTTTCAAAGTCCAGCAGCAGTGACATTCTTGTGCCAGGGACATTTATAATTCTACTCTTCTCACTTATTAGAATTTGCAACTTGAACATGCTGGTAACTGAAATGTTCCTAGATGCCAGCCTACCTATAAACTAAAACTTTCAACCTGCACAGCAATTCTTTCTTGCCATATACATATATTGTCACAGTGCTTGGTGCCATTCTAAATGTGGCTGTTAACTTAAAGGAAGAGTACCAGTATTGTAATGTAAATAAAATAACACACCATTAATAAGACAATTATCAGATTTTACTATTTACATGACGTAAAGTCATGATTTTATTAACGACACGGAGGTGAGTCTTATTCTGCACTCTTTATTTCCCTCCGCAGCAAAGAAAAACTTTAACAATGATATGAACACCGGAAACAGTCATTAACATATATCTTCCCTGGCAACCTTTCAGCCAATCATGTTCCACTCGCAATCATAATAGGCGGTATTCCCTTGACAATTTCCTCTTTCTTGTGATCCCGAATTTGTACCGCCATCCAAATGAAAGGAGGATTCCAAATAACGAACGATGTCATCAGTGGAAAAACTTTCAATTTAAGCTTTAAGAGAGAGTAGAATATGGTAATATTCACGTATAAAATTGGATGTATGCATAAATAACGTGTTATACTTTGAGGCAATATCCACTGTAACTAATATTAAGTCAACCTGTACGAGGTGAAAACAAACGTGCATAGTCAAACCGATCACTTTCAGTGAGAAAATCTGAACCAAGCAAACTTACTGTAACTAACTTACCCAGGTGAAACACCATCCAGGGAAGGGTGGGAGGGATAATACTCACCTCCGTGTTGTTAATAAAATCATGACTTTACGTCATGTAAATAGTAAAATCTGGTAATTTTATTAAGACTCAGAGGCTCCTATTATGCTGGTTTAAAGCTGTGATATAACTGTTCCAGCAAAGTGTTTGATCGGTTTGAAGTAGAAGTCATGGAATGTGGATTCCAAAGACCAATTGGCAGCTCTTCAGATATCCTCCAATTGACATCCGACCGCAGAGGCTTTTGAGGACATGGCTCGACAAACAGAATGTGGAGAGAACACTGAAGTATCTATGCCTGCTAATGTCATCCATTTGACCCATCTGGCCAGAGAGGGGTTTGATATTGGAAAATGTGGTTTGCGGACACAGGTAAATAATTTGAGGTCTTATGGGATTGTGGAGCGGAGCTGTACGGATTTCGTATTTCCGTAAGCATGCCGCTGGGCACAATAGAGGCTTCTGTGGAAAGGCCGGGTACAGTACGGACTTAAGACGTTTTGGTCCTTCTAGAGATATCAAAGAGAACTCCTTCTGGTGTAAAGGATCGAGTGTCTGTATCCAATGCTCGCACATCCGAAACTCTTTTGCACGATAGAAGGCAGAAGAGCATGACTAATTTTGCTGACAGTTGTTTGAGTGATAATGAAGAGTCGTCCAGCCATGACATAAGAAAGCGAAGGACAAGGGAAACATCCCACAGTGTAGAGTAACGAGGGAGCGGTGGACAAGAAAATCGTACTCCACGTAGTAAGCGGCAGACAATGGGGGTCCCATTGATGCCTTGATGTCCCGCGGAAAGCACCAAACGGTAAAGGTTAACCGTGGGGTAGGCTTTCCCTGCTTCAAAAAGTGAGGTCAAAAACTGTAGGATGGCTGTCAAAGCAGATTTATAAGCGTGTCTCATGCCGGGTGCCCATGCATTCTTGAGAAGTCTGAGAGTTGATTGCGGAACGCCTTCGATTGACCATGGTCCCCTGAAATCAACCACGCCATAAGCCTGTGAAGGCCTTGGAGAATTTAAGGGGTGAGGTTGTCCATCCGGATACTGAAGAAGAGAATCGTATGATGGGAGAAGGCAGGGGTAGTCTATCGACATTTCCAGAAGGTGAGGGAACCATGGTTGGGACGGCCATAGGGGAGTCACAATGACCAACGTGCCCTTTTGGCGCCATAGATGTAGGAGGCAACGGGGAATCGTTGCAAACGGAGGGAATAGGTAATTAGTCTCCGTGGCCCAATCCTGAAAGAAGGCATTCATTTCAAGAGCCGAGGGATCCGGTCTCCAACTGTAGAATCGTTGGTAGACTGGGCTAGGAGGAGGATGTCATCTAGATAGATAAGCCGAACAACCTCGACTTTGAAGCTGAGCAATCACGGGTTTCATAACTTTTGGGAAACACCATGGGGCTGATGACAAACCGAACGGGAGGCATGTGAACCTCCATTTCCTTCCTTTCCACGTGAATTGGAGAAAATCTTGGTATTTGTCCAATATAGATATCATGAGGTACGCGTCCTGTAAGTCTAACTTGGCCATCCAATCTTTGGGTTGTAGAAGGTCGGGCAGGCTATGTATGCCTTCCATTTTGAAATGGTGATAGGACACATAGGCGTTCAACTGTTTCAAATTTATGACTGGCCTCGTTTCTCCACCTTTCTTGTGTACCAGAAAGAGGTTGCTGACGTACCCCGGAGTTTTGAATGGGATCTCTGTGAGGGCTTGTTTGCGAATCAGATTGTGAATCTCCTTGGATACGAGGATAGCATCGTGTTGGGGAAAAAACAATCTCTCTGGGTAGGGAGAGTTGAATCGGATGTGATACAAAATCTATGCAGTTCTCTGTTACAGCTTGCAGGACCCAAGCATCTGATGTCAGATGCGACCACAAATGGGAAAAATGTCTGAGTCTGCCCCCCACAACCTGAAGGGGAATAGTAGACACTTACCATAAGGTTGTCGTCCAGAGGGAGCTCCTCAGATGCTCTTAGCGACCCAAAGTCTGCCTCTTTGGGGGAAGAAAGCTGGTGTGGCCCTCTGTTCTTGGAATCCTGCTCTTCAAGTATAGGAACCTCTGTTCTGTCTGTATGAACCTCTCTGAATACGGCCGTACAGACGGCCCCGGCAAAAACCTTTTGGTGGAATATCTTGCGCATGTTATTCTGCGCCTTATCTAGGGCCGTAAAGGTATGCACAAAATACCCCAATTCCTTTACAATAGAATCACCAAGTAAAAGCCCTTTAGCCTGGGCACCCGGCTCATTAAGCGCTAGATTGACTAGCTTAGGCTCGATTTTGAGCAGAATAGATTTGCGGCATTCTGTAGCCAACGCCGAATTTATGTTCCCAACCAGGCAAATGATCCTTTGGATCCATCCACGGATGACATCCCTGTCCATGTCCCGTTCGTCTTCGACCGCCTTAAATATTTTTGCCACGGGGCCCAATATTTTCAAAGTCTTGTCTTGGCAATTAGTCATGAAAAGCAATATAAATGATAAAACTTGCGAACGGCAAAGAGACGAACTGTAGGATTGAATGCACAGTTTGTCTAAAAAAACACGCCAACGGTAAAATGTATGCGAACGCGCGCCGTAGAGTGAAATTGATAAATGATAGGAAATTGACGAACGGCACTACTGCTCAAATCTAGGAGCAGGTAGACCGTTACATCAGTTAAAAAAAAAAAAAAAAAGGCGCAAAATTGCCACAAGGCTAATAAATGCAAACAAAACGTTAGAAGGGTAAAAATAATAACTTAATAAATTCTCCTTCCGGTGTCCAACCAAAGCAAAATTACAGAATATGAAAGCAGTTTATATGCAGTAACGAATAAAGCAAGTCAAGAGTTAAAGCAATGTGAATGGAAAGAAAACAACAATATTAAATAAACGTAATCGGAGTAATAATACTGTAATAATAATTGTAAAATAACAATGGCAGTAATACTAGCATAATATCCCTAAACACCTGCTGGCTTTTGTTTGTAACACTGCCCTGATTTTGGTGGCTTATGATTTACAATCTAGGCTTGATACTAGACATAGAAGCAGTGTAACTATTACTCTCTGCTAACTTTGTTTTTGTTTTGTTTTTTTAACAAGTATACCCACATTCTTTGCTGTTCACTTTCTTTTCTCTCCTAATCCTCTTCATGTAGCATTTATTAACATCCATCTAGCATCGACCTCTGATGTTCTTGATATTTTTTTTTTTTTTTTTTGCTTGGTATTCCATTTTTGTACAGGGCACTTTAACATTACTCATATAAACCTTCTGTGACGAAGTGCCCTTCGCCACTTGTGCCTAGAGAGGACTAATTACCAGCCTCCTGCCCTGCGACTATGGCCCCTGGGAGATTTTGCCCTTTAAATACGTTATTTGGGCATATTGGATTTTATTAGACTGGTTCTGGCCCTTTAAATGCTCTGACAAAGGATCTGCAGTTTTGCTATGCACTTCGGATGCAGAGTGTGAAGAAAACCCCTGTTTTATGGACTTAGTTTGACTGTTTTATTCCCCTCTCCCTTCTTAGAACACCAGTTTAAACCCTTAATAACTGTCATATTTGCAAACTCTGTCTGACCCTTTTAACTGTCAGTTTGTTTTCCTCTGAGGAGGAGTTGTTTTGCTGCATGAGTGCTGTTGATTTTGTGTGCTCATTAAACAGACCTGCTTGACCCTTTCTTGAAGCCTTGGCTCATGCTTGGGGGATGGGATAAGTCTGCAGTGCTGATGGTGTTGGTTGGAGTCCTCGGCAAGCACTAAGAGCATCGATTGGCAGAGGTACTCTGTCGGAGTGCCAGCGGGTCCGTCACACATTCCAAATTTCTCTTTCATTAACTGACAATAATTCCTAACTTTCGCTGGCAGTTTAACCCCTTAAGGACACATGACATGTCATGATTCCCTTTTATTCCAGAAATTTGGTCCTTAAGGTGTTAAAGGTCTCCAAAACCTTGACCTCGGCAGACTCCGGTACATCCTATTAATTCCTCTCACTTACTCTCTTGACATAATCGGTATATAGCTGATAGTAGTATTGTTTTCATG